CCAGAGCATTTGTTTGCCTCTCCTGAGTGTGTACCAGCTCAGCAGCAACGGGACAGTGCAGGTGAGTGCCAGGGGCCCGCCTCCCCAAGCCCTTTGGTGCTGTCACTGGGCCCAGAGGTTGCTTTCTTGAGGGGCCTAGTTAAGGCACCGAGAATGCAGAGGCCTCCCCACCCCGGCACTGACCGCTAGCCAGAGAAGCTCACACAGTCAGTGCCCAGCCTGAGTCTGGGGCTTTGGCTTCTCATATCTCCATCTGGTGTTCTTTCTGCCTAACGCCTGACCTCAGGCCCCCTCTGACCCTGCTGGCGCACCTTCCAGGAGCTTTTCTCCTCAAAGGAGCCAGGCTTCTTTAGCTGCTGGGTTGCAGGGAAGCCCCAAGGTCCCTGTTAACTGGTTCCTGGGCCCGTGTCGTGATCCTGCCTGCTGTTTGTGTCTCAGACGCCCGGCGCTTCTCGGAAGTCCCTGGACGCCCCCTCTTGGCCTGGTGTCTACCGTCTCTCCATGTCCTTGATGGAGCGGCTCCTCAAAACCCTGCGCTACAACTTCCTGACTGAGGCCCTGGACTTCGTGGGGGTTCACCAGGAGCGGACCTTACAGGTGAGGGGCTGCCGGCATCTTTGGGGTCAGGACTTGGGGTTCAAGGGCATCTGGCTCCTCAGGACTGAGTGTGGGTGCTCCCACTTCTGAGGTGCCATGAGGACTGCTGGCTGACAGGCCCCGAGGAGGAAGGGGAACGGTCTGGGATCAGCTCAGACAGAAGCCTCTTCATCCAGCCACCTGTCATGCTGTCGCCTCAGCGTTTGTGGGCCAAAGACTCCCCTTCCTGCGGGAGGGCTGGAGCAGACCCGGCAGGGCTGAGTCACCCCACCCTTCCCTGTGTCCCCCCAGTGCCTCAACGCTGTGAGGACGGTGCAGAGTCTGGCGTGCCTGGAGGAGGCGGACCACACTGTGGGCTTCCTCCTGCAGCTCTCCAGCTTCAGGAAGGAGTGGCACTTCCACCTGCCTCAGCTCATGCGGGATGTCCAGGTGGGGCCTGAGACCAGCTTTTTGGGAGTCTGGGGACAAGTTCAGGGAGAACGGGCAGGGCGTGAAGGGCGGGCCTGTTGCTGGACGTGGCCGTTTTCTTAGGTAGCACAGGCTTGGGTTCACCTTGCTTCCTCTGCAGGGAAGTTTTGCCTCCATAGCACAGCCTTATAGGGTGAGAACTTGGGCTCTGTGGCATAGAGCCTGGTTCACATCCCTTAATGCAGGACTGAGACGGGACCAGCTGGAGGAGCAGGCGGGGAAGGAGCACAGGCTCTGGAGTCTGGCCTGTGGTTGTGTGACCTTGGCCAGGTCACTTCACTTCTCACTATTTTCTTCTTCTATAAGAGGGGAAAACTGTCCCCATCTAATTTATTTACTTAGGACTTAATATCGTACCTGGTATCTAGCTGGGTCTTGGAAACCGTCCAGGCATCTGTTGACCCAAGTCTGGTTGAGCGTGCTTGGTGGCTGTGGGGTTTGGGCCTGGAGGACGCAGGGAGGTGCGGGGCACGCGGGAAAAGGGCGTGGTTTCCGGTCGCGCCCTGCTGGGTGGGTCTGGTCAGCTGGCTGGGGCCGCCCCGTGGATCCCCCTCACCCTCCCCTGTTCGCCACAGGTGAACCTCGGCTACCTGTGCCAGGCCTGCACCTCCCTCCTGCACAGCCGCAAGATGCTGCAGCACTACCTGCAGGTAACCCAGCCCCCCGCCGCAGCCCACCCCGGGCGGCCTCGCCCCAACTCCTCTGCGCGCCAGCTCTCTGTTGTCTCCCCTCTCCTTGCCAGAACAAAAATGGGGAGGGCATCCCCTCGGCCGTCGGCCCCCGAGCTCAGCGGCCGCCCACAGCTGCCCTGGCTGCCCCCTCCTGCTCCTCCTCCAAGCAGCCCGCTCCCGACACAGAGGCCTTGGAGCAGCGGGCCTTGCGCACCGTCCAGTACGGCCTCCTGAGGATCCTCAGCAGGACCCTGGCTGCCCTGCGCCGCTTCACCCCCGATGTCTGCCAGGTCCTGCTGGATCAGGTACTCTGCCCCGCGCCCCAGCCTCCACAGGGCCACCGGGGCTCCGCTCTGCACCCAGAGGTGCCTGGGGGTCTCACCCTCCATCAGTCTTGTCTTGCTTTGCAGTCCCTGGACCTTGCTGAATACAGCTTCCTGTTTGCGCTGAGCTTCACCACTCCCACCTTTGACTCCGAAGGGGCCCCCTCCTTCGGGACCCTTCTGGCCACCGTGAATGTGGCCCTGAACATGCTTGGAGAGGTGAGTCGGATATTGTCTGGCCCCTCACCCTAAGCCTTCCTCCCAGCTTTCCACTGCCTAACCACCAACTTGGGCCTGTGTACCCAGCCTGAGCTGACCTGTAAGAACTAGTGACAGTTAATGAGTAACTGATAAAATCACCTAGCGTAGGTCCTGTGAGATGGGAAGGTCTCAGTGACGGAGTTGTTACTACTACCTTATTTTTTCAAACCCCTGTTTCTCTTCCTCCAGCTGGACAAGAAAAAGGAGCCTCTCACCCAGGCTGTGGGGCTCAGCACACAAGTGGAAGGGACCAGAACTCTGAAGTGAGAAAGCCCTCCTTCTGGACATTGGTTCGGGGCTGGGGTGGTCTTGGGCCGGCTCTCCTGGATCCCCGCTTCCTGCACACGGCCCACCTGGGCTCTGCAGCAGTGCCCACATCCGCCCGCCTCCCCCCACCCCACCCCCAGGTCGCTCCTGATGTTCACCATGGAGAACTGCTTCTACCTGCTCATCTCCCAGGCGATGCGTTACCTTCGGGATTCGGCTGTGCACCCCCGGGACAAGCAGCGGATGAAGCAGGAGCTCAGCTCAGAGTTGGTAGGAGGGGTGACCCAGAGGTCCCAGCCCCTCAGTGCCTGGGGCTATCCTGAGAGGGGGGCCACAGGGCCTCATCGGGTGCTTTTTCTTTTGTAGAGCACTCTCCTCTCCAGCCTCTCCCGCTACTTCCGCCGGGGAGCCCCCAGCTCCCCTGCTGCTGGCGTCCTTCCCTCGCCGCAGGGCAAGTCCACCTCTCTCTCCAAGGTCAGCCCCGAGAGTCAGGAGCCTCTGATCCAGCTGGTGCAGGCCTTTGTCCGACATGTGCAAAGATAGGGCACTGGCCTGCTGCCGCCTACACTCTGCACCAGCCTGCATGGCAGACCTGGGGAGCGAGGGTACTGCTGGCAGACGGCCTGTCTGGGCCCAAGAGCAGCTCGTCACCCTCCCCAGAGTGGCCACGACTCCAGCCACCACCCCGGCGTTATTTTTGTAACAGATCAAGAGGTCAGCAGCAGGGGTGGGGAGCTGTGAGTCTGCTGCACTCAGTTTCACGTTCAAAATGCCCCTAAAGTGTGTATTCTCTTCCTTCAAGCATTCCCCACAGCACTTGACCCTGGCCAGGGGAGAGGCGGGGAGCCAGTCACGTGCAGCCAGGAGGCTGTGTGCACGGGTTTGAAAATCTGTTTTCCACACTCTGTTCTTGCAGTTTTTGGTAATACTGTGGTCTATTTATACAAATATTAAAATACTGTTTATACACAACTGTGTGGGTATACCTTCCAAGCCCAAGCCCGACTAACCAGCTCTCAGAGCATCGCTCTGCTTCCCTTGGCCAGGGGCCCAGAGTGGAGTGGGGGGTACTGGGTGGACACTCGGGTCTTCCTTCTACCCAGGTCTTGGTCCCCAACCCCATTTACCAGCTGGCTGAGTTGATCACTGGGTTAGAGCCTTTCCTGAAGCCCTGCTCCTCCTGTCTATAGCTCTGTGCCTCCCCTCCCTTCAGAGGGCCCTGGGTGGGGTGGTCTCTGGCCTCCTTGGGACCTGATCAGAGTTCTGGGCCCAGCTGCAAGCCTCAATCTAAAACCTGGCTTGTGGACCAAAGCTATCACTTGGGAAGTTTCGGGAACTAGACTGACCTGGGCTACAGTCCCTGTGTGGCCACTTGCCAGTTACGGAACCTCGAGGAGGTGACTCTGTTCTCTTCTTCCCTCGTCTGTGAGGACGACAGGAGAATATGTGTGCATGTGCTACACTCAATGCCGGGTCCCTGGGAAGCACTGGCAGCTGTCAGTTACCCAAATGTAAACCACCGTGCACATTTTACAGTCCACTCTGCCCCAGTTCAGGCAAGTTTTTCTCAGGAAAAAAACGATGATGCAGCTGCAGCAGACCAGTATTCCCTTCCTCAGGAGCAGCATGGGGACCCTGGGAGGGAAAAGGGGGCCATCACTCCCTCCCCCAGAAAGAGGGTGCAGTGTGGCAGTGTGCCGCCGCCTCGTCTTCCCCTTCCCGCCTGAGGCCCGCGATGTGACCGGAGCCCAGGCGACGTGCACACAAAGGATAGTTTATTATTGGTCACTGGCTAGAGAGCAAGCAGACAGGCAGAGTAAAAAGATCCGTTAAAAAGTGAGTGTGGAGAGTGCAGGCGGCAGCCACCAGACTTGGCTTGAGCGATAGGGCTGGGAGGGGAGGGCTAGCACCGGGGAGCTTCGGCCAGGCTCCCCTCCACTGCAGCACATCCCGGGGGATGCACCCCCGACTCCGGCCCGCCACAGACCTACCTGCCTGCCTGCCTCGCCCTCTGCTGCTTTTGGCAACTAAAAGGCAGGTATTCTCTCTTGCCAAGTGTGCGCCCCAGGGCGTCCTCAGCCCATCTTGCACTGACCCCCCCACAGGCTGGGGCTCCGAGCGCAGCTGCTGCAGCCAGGCCCACCCTCCTGAGAGGAGCCGGGAGGGCTGGGGGGCTCAAGGACGCAGGCAGGGGCGGGGGGGGGGCTCCAGAAACAGGTCAGAAGCAGGCCGGGGGAGGAGCTGGGATCATTCAGCCTCTGGAGCCCCTTGCAGCTGGATGGCCAAGGGGCAGGATGGGGCTAGGGTGAGCCTCCCGATGCTGAGCAGCTGGGTCGCCAGCAGACACGAGGCAGGGCTGCACCCATTTCCCCTGCCCAGGCCAGAGCGGGCAGGGCCTGGGGGAGGCGCCTGCTCAGCTGAGCAGCTCCAAGTAGGTGACGGGGACCTTGCCCTTCTTGTTGCCTCTCTCGCCAATGAGCCAGTCGGGGTCCATGCCAGGCAGGCTGTAGACAGTGATGAGCTGAAGAGGGTGACGGAGAAGGAGGGTCACGCCCCTGCTACGCGGGGCCCCTGCGCCTCCAGTGGTGGGTGCCCCCTCCTCAGCTGCTCTACGGAGACGGATCAGAGAGCCTGCCTCCTCAGAGCTGGAGCCAGCTCTGCCCCCACCCCCCGGACCCCTCAGAGGTGGGGAGCCCGTGATGCAGGGTCCTCAGACCCCATGTCCCCGGTCCCCTGGTCCCCTGGCCCCCTAAGCTGGCCTGTGCACCCCGACTGCCAATCCGTCCCTGTGGTGTCCAGGCCCACCTCATCAGCCAGCAGGGCCAGCTCACTGCTGTCGGCCGCCTCATAGTCATAGAGAACGCGGGCTTTCCTGGTTCCGCTGGCCGGCGGGGCCACCTCCTCCAGGCAGAGAGCGGCCTCCCCTGGAGGGGCCAGGTCGGCCACAGAGGGCCCCATGGGCATCGTGGCCGCAGCAGTGGTGGGTGAGGTACTGCTGAGGGGTGGGGAGGCAGGCTCGGTGGTGCCCACGAAGGTGCCTGGGAATCTGGAGAGGACAGTGTGTGTGTGGGGGGGGGTGCCCGTATCAGTAGCTGGGAGCCACCCTTTTTGGGGGGGGTCCCATGTGCCCCACAAAACACTGGTCAGGCCCAGGGCCACAGAGGCAAGGCCACCTCGCTACTTACATGGCTCCCTGGGAGCTGGCGGCATGAAGAGGAAAACAAGGGGAAGTGAGACACCCCGGCCGTCCCCGCCACCGCCCACCCCAGGGTCTCAGAACCCGTGCCCGAGGCCCCTGAGGCAGCCACCCCTCACTGTCCTCCTGATGGGGTGCCCGGGCCCAGAGGCAGGGGTGATGCCCCACCACAGTCAGCAGCCCTCCACCCCACCCCAGGCGTCAACAGGGGCTATCTGAGATCGGGGGAGCTGGGGGCTGGGAGCCGGGCACCCCCGGTGGGCACCTGCCCAGCTGCTTCTGGAGGTCGAGCATGTGGCGGTAGCACTGGGCATAGTATGTGGTCTGAGACTCAACGAACTCGTGGAGGCAGCGAAGGTGGTTCACCTGCAGAGAAGAGGCAGTGGCTGAGCGGGCACCCGCGGGCGAACGAAGCAGCCCGCTCCCCACCCCACGCTCTGCAGACCCTGGCTCGGCATCCGGCATTTTCTGCCCAGGGCTCTTGCTCCCTGGGGTGGGAGGGGGCCATACCCGTGCTTTGGGACCTTAAGGACCATGGGCTCTGCCCCACCCAGGTTCACTAGCTGCCTCAGTGTGAACTTAAAGAGTTGTGGGGACACATGGATGACAAGACTTGGGATGACAGGAGGAGGAAACGGGACAGGACTCACGTGGGTGCTACTGATCCCCTCCAGCAGGAGCCGGGTCACTTCTGCCTGCCGGTCAAACTCTGTCTGGGCCACTCGGAGCTCCTGCTCAGCCTGGGAAGGGCAGGGGATGAGCATGAGGGCAAGAATGGCCCCCAGACGCCCTCCCACTAGCCTCCTCCCGCCCTTGGAGCCGCTGGGGAGCAGTCTCCTCTGCCCTTCTGTGGCAGATGAACTTCCCCACCCCCCCACCCAGGGGTGCAGACATCAGGGCAGGGGTTTACCTCTCACCCTTGACGTCAGGCCTGGGGCCCTGACCCCCTGGAGGAGCCTTAGCCCGGCTTGGGACCCCCCCAGAGGAGGCCAGTTGCTGGGTGGGCAGGCAGAGCCTCAGGCGCCCTCCTCGGCCTTTCACGCTCATGCATTTGTCCATCTGAGGCCACCACCCAGCAGGGACAAATTCAACCAACAGTTGCTTTGGCCTCCGGAGGGCCCACAGTGTGCTGCGGGGTGCGGGGGAAGTGGCCGCCCCTCACCAGGGCCCCGCGGCTGCAGGGCAGAGTTCAGAGCCAGACACAGACCTGCCCCCGACGACAGCAGGCGGCCGGGACCCCGTTCCCCGCCCCGCTTCTTCCCTGAGCCCCAACTCACCTTGTCCACCTCGTCATTCCAGAGCTGCAGAGACCACAGCAGGACCGGTCAGCAGGGAGGGAGGGGGCAGCGGTCAGCAGGGGAGGGGAACGGAGGTGGGGGGCAGCTGTACCCCAGAGCCCGGGCCCCTGCCCCAGCTCCCAACACCCCGCCCCAACCTCTTCCCACCCCTCCACGCTTCCCAACGTCCCCCCGACAACCCCACCAGGAGCTGAGGCTGGGGGGGAGGCCTGGTGTGAGAGGGAGGGGGGCTCTGACATCACAGTCCATCCAGCCCCACATGCCACATGCGGGGAGGGGGCACAGCCAGCTGGGAAGTCCTGCTTGGGTTTCTCCTACAGGCAAGCCCCCAGGCTCGGACTGGGGTCTCCAGGGAGACCGAGCGTCCCCCACCCCACCCTGACGCTCTGCTGAGGCTGCTGGGCTGGGAGGCAGGACCGTGTGACCCTAGACCAGTCACTGAACCTTTCCGTCCTTCGGCAGAGAAAGGCAGCCTCGTGCCAGAGTCACACTGGGGTTCAAAGGCACAAGAAAAAAACAGGGCCGTCTCCACCCTCCTGGATAGTCCTCCTTCCACTCGGCCCAGGAAGGGGGGCGGCAAGTGTCCTCCAGAGTCTAAAGAAGAAAGACCCCCCTCCCCCCACCACAGCTTAGGAGGCCCGTTCCTCCGGCCCGCTGCTACCCTAACACGGGGCCTGGGCGGGGCAGAGAGCAAAACCCAGGCCAGCCTGGCTGGGACGGAGGGGTCCCCACCCCAGTGCCGCTCGGCAAACTGCACAACACGGGAAGCGACCTCCATGTGGACACACGCGGGTGAGCCAGCCACAGGGGGCTGGGGCTCGACACTGCGGTTAACACCCCCGGGGAACCAGGACCGTGCGCGCACGCACGCACACACACACGCACGCACACACACACACACACACACACACACACACACACAGCAACATGCTTATGACAGATGGAGAAGAGCCGCGGGGGGGTGGGCGGTGCGGGAGGATGTCACCCACAGGGAAAGGAGGGACAGAGAGAGGCAGAGAAAGGCCCAGCACTGGTTTCGACAGGCATGACGGGACAGGTGTCGTCTGCCTATTTCCCCAACTAAACAGTAAACACCAAGATCTCAACAAGCTGTAGGAAAAAAAGATACCAGACGTTCAAAGTCCTCCTGACCCCGCTCCACCCAGCCCACCCTCTTAAAACCCGGTCCCACCTGCCCACCCACCCACGGCTGCCCTCACGCTCAGCTTCAGAGGGGCCAGCTCGGGACATGCCCGTTCCCCCACCGCGGGGGTCTCATTCCCCGATTTTCAGGGCCTCCGCCCCAGGCTGCCCTTCCCCCCTGGGTCTACCTTCCCATGGGGCCCTGCTCGGTCTCAAGACCTCCGGGTGCCTCCCCGACACCTAGCTGATGTACTCTGGTGGCCGCTGGATGGACAGCGCCATTCTCGAGTCCTGTCCAGGGGTCTGTGACCTCCCAGCAGGCCAGGCCAGGACCTCCTCCCTCTCCTCCGGGCACAGGGGGGACAGGGCACTCAGGGGTGGGTGCTGAGTGGGGGTGGGCGGACTCTCGGGCCCCCTGGAGTCCACCAGGCTGCACGGGGCAGCGGGCCAGGCTCACCTCCAGCGTTGGGCAGGGAGGGGCAAGGGCGCAGGGCCCAGGCGGCCCGTGCCTGACCCTCTGCTCCTGCTCTCCTCGACTGGCATCAGGCCCTGGGTGTTGGGGGTGGGGGCAGGGAGGGGGAGCCGGGGCGGGGCGGGCGGGGGCGCTTACCGCGGAGGCGCTGGCCGAGAGAATGTAATTACGCGGTCTAGTCTCCTGAAAGTCAGGCACCGTCTGGCGGGGAACAGAGTTCGCGGGGGAGGGGGAGTCACATGGGGTGGGGGCCAGGCCGGGAGGCTGCCCTAGAGTCTCCCCAGGGAGATGCCAGGAGCCACCCCCACCCACCAACCCCATGGACAGGAGGCTACGGACAGATAACACGGACCCCGTTCTCCGCACACCAACCACCTGCACAGGAGGCGGGCTGAGTGAGGGTCTCGGAGAGTCGGGACAAAGACCAAGAGGGTGGACATGCTGGGGAGTCTGGGAGACCAGATGCCGGCGAGGGGACAGCCTGCAGCTGTCACAGCCCTTAACTTCAGGCAGGACACAGACCTGTCCAGCCCCAGCGGTCCTCCGGCCCCTCTTCCCCGGGCCAGCCTCATCTCACTCAGAGGCCCCAGTTACACCCACTGTTCTCCAAGCACGGCCCACCCCCACTCCGCCCAGCTCGCTCCATCCACACCTCCACACACACCCCATCTCTCCTTCCTGCAGCAAGGACCAGGCCCCTCCCCGGCCACGAGGATGGACAGATGGATGCACGGATGGACAGAGTGACAGGCGGTTGACATTTGCAAAAAGCTGACTCAACAGGCTCCAACGCCTGGCGTCCCCCCAGACCAGAGGCTACACGTAGTGGAGGCCCCGGTGGGGAGACCAGCTGCTTGCAAAAGGCCTGGAGGATGGCCCTCCCTGGCCCGGTTGGCCCGGTTGGCCCGGCCTGGCCCGGCCCCGTGAGGCCCCAGGCCGAGGTGGGCAAACCAGAAGCAGCACAGCACGTGGGACAGGTATACTCACATCTCCCTCACACTGAGCCAAGTTACCCAAAGCAGAACGGAAAGGAACAAAAACAAAGAGTTAGTGAGTCCACAGCGCAGGCGGGAGCGGGTTCCCCCGGGAAGCACAAGCCCGCCCTCCGGAAGGAGTCCTGACCGGAGTGTGGGTGCTGAGGGGTGGCAGGTGGGTGGGTGGGGGGGTGCCCTGCTGGGCTGGAGCCCACTGGGATGCTGGACCAGGCCCCAGCTCGGGAGGGGGCGTCCTGCTAAAAGTCACATACTCGGCGCTGGCCTGTGCCAACCAGCCGGACGGGAGGTGTGTCACTCCGGTGGCGAAGGGAGCGCTCCCCAGCCTGGCTGCCGGAGGAAGGCCTGTCCTGGCCAAGGGACTCAGAGAGCTGCCTGAGGGGCGTGGAGCCTGTCCCGTCCACGGGCGCTCAGGCAGCCGCAGCTCATTCTACCCCAGCCCAACCCGACGCCAGTGGCTGAAGCCCTGCCTCCGGTCTGGACTCCACACCCCTGGATGAGGCGCCACGGCTCTCGCCAGGGGCACCGTCCAGGCTCCTTGGCCCCTGGGGGCCACACGGAGGGAGGGGAATGCGAGGGGGGCTGTAAGTAACTCTCGGGCAGCGGGGGTGTCTGGCCTTCCCTGGCCGAGGGCCCTGGCAGGCAGAGGTGCCAGTGTCCCTGATGTGTCCCGGACCTGACCTGGGGAGTCCCCACCCCGGGGTGTGAGGCGGCCGTGCAGCCCCTGCACCCCGAGCAGCCTGGGCCCCTGGGGCCCAGCTCTCTCAACCCTGGTCACCGTGTCCCACGCTACATCCCATCGGCCTGGCTGAGCCGAAGGGGAGCCAAGATAGCCCTGGCTCCGTCCAGCGATGTGGGGCTCCCTGAAGGGCCCCGAGACCCACTCCTGGGCGGGCGAGCAGCCCAGCCCTGGGACCTCCACACCAGCGCAGTGGAGCCTGAGGACAGGACGGGGCGCCCAGGGAACAGCACTGGAGCAGTGCGGGGCGGGGAGGGTGCTGTTAGTAGCGGAGCCATGCCCGGGCAGAGCCGGGAACAGAGCCGAGCACCAGGGAGGGCAGTGCGGGGGGGCATGCGAGAAGCCAACCGGCTGTCTGCCTGGGGCGGCTGCAGGCTGCCCTGTGCTCGGGGAGGGCGCTGTGGGTCCACCCCCAACCTGCCCCCAGCCCCAACGTCTGCCCCGGGGACCCAGAGCTCCGGGTCAGCAGGGTTCCATCGGGGGTGGGAGCAGATGGGCGAGACCTCACATGGTCTGCCCCGAGCAGCGCCCCCCAGCCAGGCTTCTCCAGGCAGGGATGGGGAGGGAGGTCATGCCAAACACCACGAGCCTCCACCCCGAGTCTCCACCTGCTCTGGTCCAGCAGGACACCTACCGTGGCTTTGGCTTCGGCAGCCTTGGCCTTCTTGAGCCGTGCTTTGGAGGCACCCAGGTCTAGACGCCGGTTCTGCAGGAGCCGCCTCTCCTTCTGTTGCGGGGCAGGGTGGGGGGGAATCAGGGACGTGAGCCCCACGGCTGCCACGGGAGACCCCCGGCCCCAGCAGGACCAGCCCACAGGACCATCTGGTCAAGACAGGGAAACTGAGGCCCGGATGGGCAGGGGCAAACACTCCAGGCCACTCGGTCCACAAGAGCCACGTCTGCGGAGGCCCTAAGGGCTGCGGGTCGGGGTCCCGGGCTGGGTTCCGCGGGTCTGAGGAGAGGGCAGCCAGGGTCACCAGGAGGCATGCGGCCCCAGGCCCCTCACCGAAATCGTCTTCCAGTCCCCTTCCAGGAAGTTGCGCAGGGGCGTGAGGAAGTTGATGGAGGCCGTGTGGATGAAATCTCGCTCGGCCGCTCCCAGGCGCTTTTCCGCTTCAGCCACCTTGATCAGCGTCTTCCCTGAGAAGCAGAGCTGGGGGTGAGGAGGCGGGCCAGGCTCTGGCCACTCTGGCTCTCAGGAGGGAGGAGAGAGCCCCAAGAGAGATGTTCTGAGAAGCAAGAGCAGAAATGGCTAGCCTGGGAAAATGGGAGAAAATCTGTATATCCATATACCCATTGACCAATAAATACTGGGACACCCCAAAACCAGAACACTTCACAGACATTAGAAAGAAGGGAGGTGGGACTTCCAGAATAACAGAGGGAGAAACTCAGCAAATCCTCCTCCTAGAAGGGACACAGGGACTTACCTGGGGGTCCAACTGCTAAGACTCCACACTTCCACTGCGGGGGCATAGGTTCAATCCCTGATTGGGGAACTAAGATCTCATATGCTAGGCAGTATGGCAAAAAACAACCCCTACCTATCTATCTATCGCCTTCAAAAACAGAACAAAACTGGACACAGTTGTCAAAATCAATCATTTCTGGAAATTGACCAAATGCAAGTAACAAATTGAGAAGCATTTACTCCAGAACTACAGGACCTTGATAAGAACCATGGAGACAGTGGCTTTCTAGCCTGGGTGTGCTCCCCTCTCTCCAAGTTCTGTGGTGTGCCCCTCTATCAGGGTGGGGTAAGGCCTGAAGCTGCTGGAGGGGGCGGACTTGATTTTGGCTGGAACACAGAAAAACCCACAAGACATGGTCACAAACAGTAATGATCCCAATGGCAAATCATCAGGAAAGGCCAACATCACAGCTAACATGAAGCTGGAGGACTGGCTGGAATAAGCACCAGACCTGCCAGAAATTTAACAGGAGATCTGGGAAATGAGACAGTCACAGTAAGCCTTGATAAACTCTAGACAGCTCTGGTGGTCTGGAAGGCTGTGTCTGTGTGTAGCATGGGAGAGACAGGAGAGAACCTCAGCCGTCAACTCATTCTTGGCTAGTGGGAGGCTTTGCACATTCACGAAGTAAAAGCTAGGGACACACATAAACTGCCTGAACATGAGTGTGTTCCCCAGCCCACTCATAAATTCATAAGCAAAGCCTTAATGGTGCAAGATATTTAAGTACAACTTCTGATTAATCATTAGCTGATCACCAACATATGCTGACCTGGAAGCAACCCTTAGGAAAATAGGCTTAAAAGTAAAAAGAATAATTTAAGAAGAAAAATAAGCAGAGACATCAGTAGCTGCAAACAGCAAAGAACACAGACTCTAAACAGTTAGCTCAGGCAAGTCTCTAAAGAAACAAATAGCACAAACAAACTAACAAACAAGTCTCTAAAGAAACCCAGGAAGAATTATAAGACATGCAAATAAACAGGAAAGTACAGTCAATACGCAGGGAAAGAAAAGCAATCAACAGATCCTATCTCCGAGAAGGCCCAGATATTAGATTTAGCAGACAAAGACTTCTAAGCAGCTATTACAAATAAGTACAAAACAAAAAACAACCAAAACCCCAATGGTAGGGAGGGACAAATTCTGGTATAGGATTAAACTACTATATACGAAATAAATAAGTAACAGCATATACCATATAGCACAGGGAATCATAGCCATTACTTTGTAATAACCTATGATGGAATATAATCTGCAAAAATACTGAATCACTATGCCATATACCAGAAACACATATTAAAATCAACTATACTTCAATTAAAAAATTTTAAAAAATGGAACCATGTTTAAAGATTTAAGATGAATACAACACTGTGAAGCAATTATCCTCCAATTAAAAATTTTATTTTATTTTTCAGTTTTTTTTGTTTTTTTCATTTATTTTTATTAGTTGGAGGCTAATTACTTTACAATATTGTAGTGGTTTTTGCCACACATTGACATGAATCAGCCATGGATTTACACGTGTTCCCCATCCCGATCCCCCCTCCCACCTCCCTCCCCATCCCATCCCTCTGGGTCTTCCCAGTGCACCAGCCCCGAGCACTTGTCTCACGCATCCAACCTGGGAGAAACTGGGGAGCCGGGGGGGGGAGTGAGGGATAAATTAGATTGGGATTAACATATACAAACTACAATATATAAAACAGATAACCAACAAGACCTACTGTAGAGGACAGTAGGTGCTATACTCAATATTTTGAAATAACCCAAAGTGAAAAGAATTTGAAAAGGAGCATGTATATGTGTATACAACAGAATCACTGAGATGTATACCTGAAACGAACACAATATTGTAAATCAACTATGTTCTAGTTCAGAATTAGTTAATTAAAAATTTAAAAATAAACTGGATCAAAAAAAAAAACTGGATCGAGGGATGTTTGTACAATTCTCTAAATATACTAAAAATCACCAAATAACACACTTAAAACAAGTGCACTTTACAGTACCTAAACTGCACCTCAACAAAACTTAATAAAAAACAAAGACTGAGGTGGCTCTTTAAGTGCCACTGTGAACAGATAATCTGTAAAGCAACACCAAGTTTAAAAATCAGGTTGCAGAATCACGCAGATAAGAGAATATGATCCCATTAAAAAATGCACACAAACCAAAAGTGGGTAAAGGAGGCTCCCCTTTTTTTTTGAGCCGTGCCATGTGGTATGCAGGATCTTAGTTCCCTGGCCAGGGATGGAACCCAGGCCCACTGCACTGGGAGTGTGGAGCCTTAGCCACTGGCCCACCAGGGAAGTCCCAGGAGACGTCTATTTCTCACTCTGTTTTCACCTCTGGTGATTGAGGTATTTGCAGGCAGAATGAATCCAGGCATCACATGTGCAGATACAAGACCAGAGAAAGGAAGGAAAGGAGGGAGGCAGGGAGGTCAGGGCCAGAGACCGCGGCCCCACCCAGCCGCGGGGGCGGCTCACCGTAGGGGGTGGTGGGCCCCAGCTCACTGGCCGCCTCGGCCATGTACTGCGCCAGCAGCTCGCCGTTGGTGACCCGCGAGGGCACCTTCCTGTCCAGCTTCTCGTAAAGGAACTCCTCCACTCGGGCGCCTGTGGGAGACAGCAGCCAAAGCCACGGGGCCCTTCCGGAGGAGCCCAAGGCCAGACCAGGGCGCCCAGCCCGGTGACTTCCAGGATGTTCTCCTGCTGATTCCCCACCCTGTGAGACGGCCTGTCGACCCTGTGAAACCCCTCACAGGGAGGGAGAAGCCACGGCCCAGAGACCTGAAGGACCTGCCCGAGGTCACCCAGCTGCGGTGACGGGCCTTCCACGTCCCCCTCCTTAGAAAACGGGCTCACAGAGCATGACACACAGGTGGTGCTAGTGCTGAAGAACCCGCCTGCCAATGCAGGAGACCTAAGAACCACGGGTTCGATCCCTGGGTGGGGAAGATCCCCTGGAGGTGGGCATGGCAACCCACTCCTGGATTCTTGCCTGGAGAATCCCTCTGGACAGAGGAGCCTGGTGGGCTATAGTCCACGGGGTCGCAGAGTCGGACACGACTGAGCAACTTAGCATGCATGCACGCACCACACATGTGAACAGCGCTCTGGCCGGACCCAGAAAGCTCTGAGCACACTGCCTTAGCTAAGAGCAGACATACAGGCAGACATGTCTCTGGACCCCAGGGCAGATTCCCCTGCAGCTGTGGGGGCCTGCTCTGTGCTCTCATGCGACCCTGGACGAGCCTTCTTTGTCCCTGAACCTTGTTGCCTGCTCCCCAGTGACCAGGCTCCCATTTCTTCTGCCTCTTCTCCCAGTGATGTTTCAGTTTCCAGGTATCTCTTCAATACCTCTGAGAAAAACTTGCATTTCCACGTCCCAGAGAGTGAGTGCATTGTGGAACCCAACACCGAGACTGCTGTTTTTACTGGGGACCATCCCCCCTTTCCCTGCCACCACCAGCAGCCTTAAGCCCCAAGAGTCTAACCCAGGTCCCAGGCCCACCTACACAGCCTCAGCAGCTGGGCCCCTGCCCGCAGTGTCCTCCCCTTGTCCAGGGCCAGCCCATGTCCACTCACTGGGGTTGGGCTGCAGCAGCACCTCTGTCTGTCTCAAGATCTTCTCGGTCCAGTTCTTGGTGCTGTCCGCCCGGGCCAGGAGGCTCTCAAAGTGGGCGTCGAGCTCGGTCTTCTCGGCCTGGCCAAATTTCTCCTCCGTGAACTGCAGGGCGGGTCGGGGGAGCACTCAGGGGTGGACAACTCAGCAGGGGGGAAGGGAGGACCAGCCCTGCCCCACCCATCTACCCCTCCCGCCTGGCTGGAACTCAGGCCCTAAGGTCCAGGAACCAGTCTACCCCATCTGGGACCCTGATCAAACTGCAACCCTGCCCTGGGCCTCAGCTTGCTCCTCTGTGACATGGGATGGTTGGGCCAGAGCCGGCGGATCCCTGTTTGTTTCGGAAATCCAATGAAAGATACAGACACCCCCTGCCCTCCAAATGCACACCTGTACAAAATCAAACACAACTTAGGGTGTAAGGAGCCTCTGGGAGGCCATCACTGAGGGTCCTCCCAGCCTGACTCTGGAGGGAAGCACTTGGTAACAAGTGCTCAGGGAACACAAGGGGCACAGAGCAAGGTCTGGGGTGACCAGCAGGTGCTGGGGCAGCTGGGAGCCCCGGGGAAGGGGATCCCAGGGGAGTGAGTGGGAAGAACCCAGGTTCCGCAACCAGAGGGACATGATTCAACTCTCAGTTCTGATGAGCAACGTGACCTGGGGCAAGTGGCTTTGCCTCTCTGAGCATCCGTTTCCTAAGCTGAAAATGGGAATAATAAGGAATAGCATCTCCCTTGTTGTGAGAAAGAAATAAAAAAGATGTGGATAAGATATGAAGGCCAGGATCTGGCAGGGAGTTTGGTGCCCAGTGTAAGGGCTGATACTATAAAGACCTGATGGGAAGGAAGAGGGGTGGGGTGGAGGATGGTCTCTGCTGCTTGGCATGGTACATGGGGAGCAGTGCCAACTCATCCAAGCCAACTGCGGGCATGCTCAGGCCCAGGAAGCTCGGCAGCCCCACCCCAAGGCCAGGGAGGGGCCAGGACATCACAGGGTCCTCCTTCTGAGCTGGCTGAAGCCACAGGGGCCACATGGGAACAACCAGAAACCAGCCCAGGTCCTGGCCCTTCTGATCTCAAAGGCCCCGTCCAGCCGTGGTGGGTGGTGGTCAGAGGCAAACTACAGGAGCGAGCTCAACTCTGACAACGACAGACAGCGCTGACTCTGCACTCAGCACGGGCGAGCTTCCCATTTCACAGAAGGGGCTGCTGGGCTGGGCAAGAGGCGGGCTGCACTGGAGTCAGGGTCGTCACGAGCTGGGGGTCTGGAGGCCCTTCCCAGATGATCTGGCAGCCCTGAGTCACCCAGAGGCCAAGGACAGCTCCAGCTGCAGGGAGCAGAAGGCCCCACCGGCTGCAGGCCGCTCCAGCTCAGCAGCCATCAATTATGTATGGGGGCTTGGGTTTCTCTCTGCAAGGCCGGGTGGGCCAGGGTCAGAGCCTGCAGCTCCCCACCTGGGAGCCAGTTACTCTTGCTCTCCTGACTCTTCCTCCTCACTTTCCACAAACTGGGGCCTCCCAGAGCAGGCCCTGAACAGGCCTGCCCTCACCCAGCCTCTTAGGGGATGGGGGTGGCACTAGCTCCATTTTCCAGATGAGAAAACTGAGGCTCACAGGCAAAGTCACCTCTCTGGTCCTCTCCCAGTTTCCATCTCATAGAATATTCAGGAGGTGCTTAGTTCCGTGGTCAGCACACAGTACAGGCCTGATAAATGTCAGCTGGCGTCAACGTCATCATCATCATCAGTAAAAGATCCCCCGCAGGGCCCTCCTCGGCTCCCAGGAGCCACCTAGGGACGTCCTTACCCCGTGGGACCAGCCGCTCTGATGCCGGTGATGGAGTCACGCTCAGTAGCTCCTCCCCTTTTTGCCACAGTTATGGGCAGCACTTCCCGCCGGGCCACCTGGCCACCTGTCCCTCACACTACACATCCACCCACGTTCAAAGTCCTACCAGGTTTTTCCAATGTCCTGGGCATCCCTCCCACGTCCACTGTTGCCTGCCCGGCTAGGATGAAAACAATGCTACAGCTTCCCTGACTTTTATTATCATCGCTCCTACCTCTGCTCCTAGTAATACAGTCAGACTACTGACAGCATTGGTACTAGCACTTCCACTGCCGACTCCACCCCTACTGGCATCTTACCCAAATATGCTTTAGCTTTTCCTGCCTGGGTGCCCTTCGCTGAGCTGTTCCCATCACCGGGATCAACTCCGCAAACCCCTCCTGGTGTTCAAGGCACAGTTCGAGGACTGAGAAGCCACCCTAGGATCACCCGTGCAAAAGACATCTGGCCTCCAGCTTCTTATCCCAGGTCCCGCTCCTTACAGGGTGGGGATGAGGTGAAGCTCGTTCAAAGTGCCCCCGGTACCTGGAGGGGCTGAGCACTTGCCCAGCATGTCCTTCCACCTGGCAAGGTGGCACCCATGCAGAGGAGCTGCCCACACATTGATAATAAACCACCCTCCGTCCCTCCAGGCTGACTCCTATCCCAGGGCCGACTGGCCTCGGTTGGGGGGGTGGGTCCCATGAGTGGGCTCTCCTGCCCAGGCCACATTTCAAGCCCCTCTCTCTTTGGGCCGCCACCTGGCCCTATTTCTGCCAAGAGGAAGGGCCCAGGCTTCAGAGGCTCATGACTGCAGAGTCCGAGGCTGCTCCCTGCAAGATGGCAGCAGCAGGGGGTGGGCGGCTGGAGCCAGAGAAAGCCTCTATTTATAAAGCTCCCAGCTCCCTCCTCCACCCTGAAGGCGGGGGGCCTGGGCGCTGGCTCCCACGCCAGTATGGGCGACCCAGTGGGCCTGCCCCCACCAGGCCACGGGGCTCAAGCCTCCCCACGCCCCAGGCTCTGCAGACCTGGTCGGATCGGGTGCTAGGGCCCCACAGTAGCCGGAAACTGGCAGATCAGGTTCTTCCTAGATGTGGGAGATAGAGTGGTTGCCATACCAACACAGGGGGCGAACTCCTCACCTTCTGGATGGATTGGGGCTGGCCAACGAGCTCCAGGCTGCAGGCACCCCCACTAAGGCTGGGGTCACTGGCAGGGCTGGAAACCCAGGGCAGCAAACCCTCTCTGGGGCATCCATCCTCAACGGGATGCTGTGCTTTCTAGTAAACATGGGCACGTGGGCTTCCAAGAGACAGTCTGGGGCCGGGCTCCTCCAGAGAACCAACCCCCACAGCAAGGACAAACAACAGGATCTGTTCCCAGGGCGCTGTGACCGGGCCAAGCCCCAAGCTGCAGCCACCCTTGGAGGCAGACTTGGTGCCACTCCCGATGGACAGAAGGGCATATGGAGGCTCCCACAGAAGTGACTGGCCCAAGGTCACAGGCTGCACGGGTGCAATACTAACCACGTTACACCAAGAGTGACTTGCCTTTAGTGAGCATGTCCACACGGAGTGCCGAGGACACTCACATCCATGCTGGGAGGGAGGGGTTGCTAAGGCCATTTTCAAAAGACTGAAAAACTGAGGCCCAGAGAGGTGAAGCCCCCGCCCTTCTCAAAGTCACAAGAGGGGGCATCCATGGCCATAGCTGACTCCCGGTCTTCACTGATAAGCTGCTTCAGTTTCTCTTCTCGTCCCCAAATGGATAGGACTTGTTCTAATCCTAGCATCACCCAGCGTACAGCTCCCCAAGGAGGGCACTCAGCCAGACCCCAGCCCTCTCCTCATTCCTCTAGGGCTGGGGAAATAAGAGGAAACAGGCCTGCCATGGAGCAGAAAGGAAATAATAACCCCAGCCCTCCTGGCTTCCGGACTGACTATCCAAGCGTGTAAAAGGGGACCTGAGGGAATCAGTTCCGACAGCCCATTGCACAGGTGTGGAGACTGAGGCTCAGAGAAGGGCTCAGGGGCCCGGGTGCACGAGTCCTTGAGCCTGGATCTCAAGCCTCCAAACGCCGGCCGTGAGTCAAGAGTCGTTGCTGGCCACAGGCAGGGTGGCAGGAGCCGCCTGATGCCCTCTGCGCTCCCCATCGGAGCCTCAACCGGGGCGGGGCAGGCGCCAGCGCAGTGGGATAACTCGGCCCAGGCAGGTCGCAAAGGGGCAGGCTGACACCTCCCGCCCAGGGAGCGGGGCCGAGGCAGGCCCAGCTCACTCCCCGGCCCCCGGGCCACGCAGAGGGTAGTACAAGGCAGTGCAGCCGGCCGCCCCGGGGCTCCTCCTCTCGACTGGGCAGCGCAGAAGAGGAGGAAGGCTGGTGAGGGCCTAGGGCGACCTGGGAAGGAGCGGCGGCCGCGAGGGCCTTGTCCCGCGGCCCCGGGCTCTGTTTCAGGGGTGCCCGCCGGCCGCGCGGGGCCCAGGGCTCACGGCCTCCTCACCTGCACGGCCCGGGTGAAGAAGATGCCAGCGTCCGACGCGAGCTTCTTCATGTTGAAGTCCATGGCGCTCCGCACGGCCGGCGAGTCCGGCCCGAGCGCTGCCCGGCAGCCCCCGGCCCGCCGCCGCCAGACCTCACCGCGCCCACCTGCTGCTGGGGCTCCGGCCCTTAGCGCGCCGGCCCGTCCGTCCCAGCCGCCGCCGCCGCCGCCGCCGCCGCAGCCGCTGCCTCCGCCCGAGCCTGCCAGAGCGCGCAGGGCGGGGCGCCGGTCGCGGGGGCGGAGCCTCCGGGTGGGCGGGGCGGGGCGGCCGGCCTGGAGGCTGCTCGCGGCTGCCCCCCTGCGGCCGCCGGTGGGCCAGCCTCTCTGGCTTACCCGTCCAGTGGCTGCCGGCCTCACTGGTGCCTCTTACTCTCCTGTTTATTGTTTTGTTTTGTTTTTTAACAACCCTGCTGATGGGAAAGATTGAAGGCGGGAGGAGACGGGGACGACAAAGGATGAGATGGTTGGATGGCATCACCGACTCGATGGACATGAGTTTGAGTAAACTGGAGTTAGTGATGGACAGGGAAGCCTGGCTTGTTGCAGTCCATGGGGTCGCAAAGAGTTGGACGCTACTTGAGCTACTGAACTGAACTGAACTGAACTGACTCTCCTGTTGTTCATTGGCACCCTCCTCGCAGGCTGGGCCCTCTGGTTCCCTATTTCTCGGCCTCTTTAGGCCTGGATCTTTCTGTGCCACCATCCACCACCACCAGCAGCAGCAGCAGCTTGACCTTTCTAGCGCCCATCTTCTGCTGCTCCAACTATAGTGACACTAAGGACCACCTCTGGGGAATGGCTGTTTGGCCTCAGGAAACCCTCTGGTTCTTCGGTGTGTGTAAGGACTTAACAGGGAGGGAAGGAGGAGAGAAAGGAAGGCTTCTGTTCAGCCTAGGTGGAGGGACCCTCCAGGCATTGACACGGTGCTAACCTTGAACCAGTTTCTCACAGACCAAGACAGGCAGAAGGATGGCCTGCACATATATTCCCCGCTCCCAAGGGGCTTGGAACGGGTTTATTACCTGTTTCCAGGGCTCGCCTCTCTCTACCTCTAGACTTCATTTTCTTACACAGTGGAGAGATCTGTTCCTGAGCCTGTGCGCTTTCCTCTCTGGCTCTGTCCCCTGGATTCCTAGCTTTATTTACATCCCTGCACTCACACCAGTTCCCCATCTTCTACCTCAGCCTGTCTTTCCAGAGTGAGCTTCAAGTCACCTGGGGGACTAAAAAATCCCTGGTCCCACTCCCAGTCCTGGTTCTCTTCATACAGGTGTAGCCTGGCAGGTAGAGTCTAGAAAAGCTTCCAGGTGATTTAAATGTGCACCCCAGGTTCAGAACCACTGATCTATATTATTATCTGCATGGAGTCATCATCAGTGTTCATGTCACTCACACACCTGCAGTTCATCTCTGTTTCTTTGTGTGTTTCTATGTGTTCACTACGTGTTTCTATTTGTATTGATCATTGACTTATTTTCCAGAGTCTGTCTGTAGCTGACTGTATCATTCATTTAGCCAGCATCCAGCCATATCGCCTTTCAACAGCTACAAATCAATATAGTAACATGTTCACTCATTTGGTAACTACACTGAGCACAGTTAAAGAAAAAAAAATTCAGGATACTTGTTAAGGATGACAAGGAAGACTATTCAAGAGAGTCCAGTGCAGTGGGGGTTTTGCAGAAGGGGAGACAGATTGGGCTCAACTACAAATACAATAATGTCAAGTGGAGATTTACAGCCCATGAACAGACTAGGGGTCAGTGGATGGAAAATGACTAAGCAGGAACATTAAGGCTAGTGAGATTCTTGCTGAAGGCAGGCCCAGGTGATAAGATGGATGAAGGATGGAGGATGAAGAATTTGATCAGATGTGGAGGGTGATCAGAAATCCCGGGTTGGAAATTTTGCTAAATTGGCCCCACAGAATTCTTGCTAAAACTGCACTCTACAAGATGAAAGCTTCTGGTTGAACCTACTTGAGTAGAGGGCTTAGAGGAGCCTGACTTCGGTCAGGTCAAGGATAAAGACCTTATCAGCACTAATTTTGTGGTAGGCAGTGTTCTAGGTGTCAGAGACACAGCAGTGAACAAAACAAGGCCCCTCCCTTCTTGGACAAACAGATATATAACCATGTCAGATCCTGGGAAGAAAAACAACAGGGTAAAGGAGAATGAGAGAGACAGTAAGTGTTATTCCTGATCTTGTCTCTGCCCGGTCTGTATGTTTCATCTGTTTATCTAGGTTTCCACGCGGTTATTGCAGTTTGTCTAATTGCAATGGCCGAAATTTCCTAAGACCTTGCCAGGCTGAACACAGAGCACTTTAAAGTGAATAATCACATGAGAGCCTCATAACAACTTAGAAAGTATCCTCTTCCTTATTAAGGGGAAATAAGGTTTAGAGAAGTTACGATTTTCCCGAGGACACAGGGGAGTAAGCAATGGATTTGGCCCCAGATGCAGGCAGCTCAGTGGTGGAGCCTGCTCTCCTTTGCTCTGGCTGCCACTTCCTTGGCTCATCAGCTGCCACTCTCCCCTCTCTCTGCCACTCTGAGTCAAAGATGCCAGGTTTGCTCTTGCCTCTGGGTCACAGTCCAAGCTGTTCCTGAACATTCCTCCCTCTTCTCTCTCTGCCCAACTAATTCCTAGTCATCCTTAGGTTTCTGTTTGGACGTCACTTTCTCTCTAGAGTTTCTCACCTTCCCATGGGAGCACAGGTGTCCATCTCTGGGGAAACTCAGGAATAGCAGGGAGCCTGGATTCCTGAGTTTCCACCATTGGAACAATACCACAAAAGATTGTAATTAACTATATGTGGGCTTCCCTGCTGGCTCAGAAGTTAAAGCATCTGCCTGCAATTGAGACCTGAGTTCGATCCCTAGGTCGGGAAGATCCCCTGGAGAAGGAAATGGCAACCCACTCCAGTATTCTTGCCTGGAGAATCCCATGGACGGAGGAGCCTGGTGGGCTACAGTCCCCGGGGTGGAAAAGAGTCGGACACGACTGAGAGACTTCACTTTAACTATATGTATCTTGTCTACCACTATCAAGTCCAGCCAAAGTGCTGTCACACAGAAGTATTCGTTGTTGAATGAATGAAAGAATGTAACCTTACTGATAATTACATTTAAAAAACTTAGAGGAGTCCGGTTCTCTGGTTATGAAGGGACTGCCACAGTTTCCTTACTATAAGCACCAAAGCCCTGTTACTCAGGCAAGGCAGGAATTCCATTCCCGTTTTAGAGAGGAGTAAACTGAGTCATTCTTATATATTGTTGCCTGGAAAATTCCATGGATGGAGGAGCCTGGCGGGCTACAGTCCATGGGGTCGCAAAGAACCGGACACGACTGAGCGACTAACACCCTGAAACTGAATAAACCCCAGAGAGCTGATGTGACAGAACTTGATTCCAACTCAGATCGGCATGATACCAAACCTAGTGCTCAGCGTAAAGCACTGCTGGGCTCTCAGAACCGAATCAATTCTCAGGGAGACGACTTCTGTCTGGTAAGGGAGGCGTGGCACTTTTGCAAACAGCTCCCAAAAAAGGAGAGTGGCAAGTGCTCAGAAGGATGCTGTAGGAAGTTTTAGAGGCAGTTGCATTGGAAAGAGGGCGCTCGAAGGGCGGGAAGGACTTGTCTGGGTGGGTACCGTGGCGGCAGAGGAACTAAATATAAAGGGCTCAGAACGCTGCCGGTTCCTTCTTTAAAGCTCCTTCGAAACCTGATTGTTTCCCCTTATTCCTTTAAGGGCGACCCCGCCCCCACTTAACCACCCGGGTCAATCTAATCCCGATGGCCAATCACAGGAGAGAAAAAAAATTACTTCCGCGCCTCAACCGCACTTAGGGGGCGGAACAGAGGGAGAGGAGAGGTGGAGCTAATGTTGTCACGTGACCTGCCCAATTGCCCAGAGGCCGGGGCGGTGCAGACGAGATCGGCGACGCTCATTGGCCAAACCAAGGTTGGCCCAGCGTGAGGCCACGCCCCCGGAGGCCCCGAGGTTGGTTGCGCGGGCGCCGGGGAAGGAGACGCTGCCCTTCCGCAGCGATGGGATCTTGGGTGAGTGGCTGCGGGGGCCGGCGCGGCGCCGCAGGGTTTGGGACTTAGACTTGCAGCGGGCGGGAGCCGTGCCTCCGCGGGGAACTGGGTAAGGGATCGCAGGTGTCCCGGCTCAGCCAGACTAGAAGGGCCCGGGTTGGCAAAGAGCAGGTGCTCGGGCCGTGGGCGGCGCGAGAGGGGGAACAGAAGAAGGTACCCGGTCCGTGGGAAGATGCCTGGGCCTGGAACACTGCAGAGATTGAAACTGGGGCGCAGGTCCTGGACCCGAACCGGGCAAGTACTGGGATAGTAGGAGCTGGTGCGCGGACCTGGGACGGCGGCAGTGGGGCACCTGGACAACCCTAGAGGATATTCCGGGGGTCGGGGCAAGAGAGGAGGGGCCTTGACCAGGGGATACGGAAGGAATTGTCCGGGATGGACAGATCCTAAGGGAGGGGATATTGCTGAGGTCCAGCGTACGGAGTGCTCAGTGCTGGTCGGATCCTGCCAGGGTGGAATGAACGAAGACTGGGCAGAGGGGTCGCTCAGAGGAGCACTTGGGCCGGGGACATTGCTGGGCTCAAGGCGGAATGAAGGGTGCTCAGGCTAGTGTAATTTACGGAGTGATTCAGGGCAGGGAAGGAGGTGCCTGGGATTGAAAGCCTGGGCATCCTTGCTGAGAGGTTGTAAGTGCCGGCATGGGGGTGGAATGGGAATAAGGAGGTTCCAGCCCAAGGTTACAAGGTAGGAGAGGTGACTTGCCCAGGTGGGGAAGGCATTAGGAGTATCCACGTGGTGGGAGACCTTGCTGTGGGCTTGTCATCACAGAGAGGGGGTGGAGGCTTCTCTCCTTTGGCCCTGGGTTGTGCCACAGGGATGGATAGATGGGCTATCTATAGATGGATCTGAATCCTTCCCTAAAAGAGAAGCTGTCTTGGGACCGGTGTCCTTACCTGACACTCTTCCTCAGTCCAGGCAGCAGAGGCTGCTCTTGACTTTTTTGCAGGTAAATGCTAGGCTTTGGGGTCCCCGAGAGCTGTGGTCATATCCCAGCTTCGCTATTTTACTCAGTGACTTCAGTCGGGGTGATTATCTTCTGGGGCCACAGTTTCACCATCACTGAGATAAATAGCTCAGCTTTGAGGGTTCTGAGTGACTGGACTCAAAACCCTGCATGGAGAGACTGTTCCAAGCCTGCCTGTTAAGTGCCTGGGAAATAGTAGCTGCTGGTCCTCTGATGTTCTTATCTCCCTTTGTTCTGAGGCTTGGGGCAAGTTGGAGGGGTGAGGGAGGTGGCTTGTGATATTAACCTGGCCCCTGACCACTGAAGGTCACGTAGCTTAGTTTGTAGCCTCCTGGCAGGATGTCCCCTATCCTTGACAATGTGAGTTTCCTCAGGCCTGCCTGCCCCCCTTACACACACACACACACACACACACACACCCCTGGAGCTAACTGATAGGATCATTCATCCTTCCCACTCACTGGGAATAAACTGTTTCTTGTGCTGGTCCAGTGACTTTGGCAGCCATCTGAAGTAGACAGGGTCTGTCTGGCTGTTGTATTCCTTCTGTTTGAAGTCCCAGGAGACCTTGAAGGCACACTTGGCCTTGGTGGTGCTGGGTCGGGGAGTTCTCCGCAGGATCTTGGGGACTGGCTTATGTGTTCAAGCCACTCATTCACTGGCCTTGGAACGGGGCGTGAGGTATCTCAGAAGGCCCCAGGGCAAAGTTGCCCTTCTGGTCTGTGGTTCTTCCAGGACTTCCACTTCCTGCTCCATGTCAGATTTGGCAAAAGGGTTGTGTTGAGCGTGGAGTTTAAAGTCCAAGAGATCTTGACCCACGTCCCGACTCTGTCTGGTACCAGCCATCTGGTGCCAGTGACTTTGGACTCCTGACTTAGCCTGTCTGAGCCTCAGTTTCCTTGTTGGAAATTGGCAGTGGGTATGGGAAATAGTTGGATGACATCACCAACTCAATGGACATAAGTTTGAATAAACTCCAGGAGTTGGTGATGGATAGGGAGGCCTGGCTTGATGCAGTCCATGGGGTCTCAAAGAGTTAGACACGACTGAGTGACTGAACTTAACTGATGGGAAATAGAGCCCATCTACTTCGCAGATTTGTAATGATTCAATGAAATGATGTATGTAAGGAATGCAGCACAAAACACCCATATAATGCATAGTAACTATTATTATTTGAGGAAATACCCTGCTGTTTTAATAATACAGTCCACAGGAAATACAACATTCTTGGTTTCATGGGAGGTGGAAAAGATGTAATGATTCTCAGTCAGGGACCTGACCCTTAGAGGCCTAAGATTTCTGCTTAGCCCACTCGCCATGGGTTTGAAAAACTTGAGACAGTGTGGTTTAAAGCCTCAGGTTTGAGAGTGACCTCTCAATCCTCCAGGCTCTGGGTCTGCACTGGGGCCAGTGGGCCAGGCACTGCCTCCTGCTCCCAGGGCTCAAGGTGGGCAGAGGGTCTGTGGGGTGTTTGGCTGCCTTCCTGCTAGCAGACACAAAAGGCTAGGGCCTTGTTCCAGGCCTCACATTCCACACGTGGGCGTTGCTCCCAGCTCATTCCCCCCAGAGCACTCTTGTGTGTGTTTCTCTGTGCCCACATGCTCATGCCCTTGTGGCTGACTTGGTCATCTGTCTCTCAGCTCTGTGCAGGGACCTTCTGGTCTGCGCGTCCCTGTTCTTTCGGGGCGTGGATGGTACCCAGGACCCAGCCAGCAACCAGTTGAAGACGTTCTCCTTGGAAGCTTTCAGCCCCGAGGGCTCTCGCCCGGGCTGCTGATCCTGCCATGGCGTTCAGGCGGACCGAGGGCGTGTCCATGATACAGGCTCTGGCCATGACGGTGGCTGAGATCCCTGTGTTCCTTTACACGACCTTCGGGCAGGTAAAGATCAGGGCGGTTGTGGTCCTGCCCTTTAACCCCACTGGTCCCTGAAACACTGAGCCGCTCATCCCAGAGTCCTTCACCATCCAGGAAGACTGGGCCTTTGTAATTGCTGTCCCAGGCCATCGTCTTTGAGTAGAGTAGGAAGGACTGGGTTAGGAGTCTGGGGTCCCAAGCCCAGTCTCTACCCCAGGTCTCTGGACTCTTAGCCTCAGTTTCTCTGTCTATAAAAGGAGTCGACCAGGTCCTCCCTGCCAGCTTTAAATGTCTGTGGCTGGCCAGGCCCCTTGGCACTCCCCAAAGCTCACCCTGTGGGGTGCAGCCTCATGAGGGGCCCCCCCGTCCAGCAGGCAGAGTGAGGGTGCTGTGGACCACCCACTGCGGTGAGTGTCACTGTACCTGAGGAGCTGAGCAGCGGGGCCGGCAGACCTGGGCTTGGTTTCCGCCTCTCCGTCACCTTAAGCCCGTGCCCTAAGCTGTGTGAGCCTCAGATACCTCGCCTGGAAAATGACAGGCATTTGGACAGGTAACACAGGTACAATCCCGATGTGGCCCCTGGGACAGGGGCTCAGTCACTGCGACTGGTGGAATCCTGACAGATGGTGTTGGGGACACCATCTCCTTGGCCTTGTCATTTTGCCCTCCCCAATCACTCCCAATCCCCCTCTTTTACATTTCTGTGATCCAGGTTTCAGAGGCCAGGTCCCTGCCCCAGGGGGTGGTTGCCTCTCCAACATTCCTGGTCAGGAAATATCCCCCAAGGGCCTGAAGCAGCCAGGCCATCTGGGCACCCAGGGCAGCTCTCCCAGGCAGATGTAACCGGCGGGCCCCCCTCTTCTCCTACAGTCTGCCTTCTCCCAGCTGCGGTTGACACCAGGCCTGCGGAAGGTCCTCTTTGCCACGGCCCTGGGGACTGTGGCTTTGGCCCTGGCCGCCCACCAGCTGAAGAGGCGACGGCGGAAGAAGAAGCAGGTCGGCCCTGAGATGGGAGGCGAGCATCTGGGCACGGGGACCCTCCCCATCCTCATGGCCAGGAAGGTCCCATCGATGAAGAAAGGTAGGTGTGAGGTGGTGGGGAAGGGTGAACCTGAAGTCGAGTCTCAGCGGGCTCCTGATAGCTGAGATCTTGGGCCAGTGACATGCTGTCTCCAAGGCGAGTCCCCTTATCTGTGAAGCAGGTCATTGTAAGGATTTGCTGGGTCATGTGGCCGGATGCACGTGTCTTTGGAAGTGTTGGTTTCTCCTTATCTGAGGACCCTCTGGGAGTGTCAGGTCCAGAGTGGGCTGGTGGGGCACATCTCCTCTGTTCAGTAAAGGGAAGTCCCCTGCCTCAGAAGTAGGAAAGGCCCTGTGGTTCCTGAGCCATATGGTCATCTCACTATTTCCTGCTTTTTTACTTGGCACATAGTAAGATTCATCCTTTTTAGCAAACAACTCTATGAGTTTTGACAAACACTTATAGTCATACAGTCCAACCACAGTCAAGAGCTGTTGCTCTGTAAACCCCCAGGGCCCTTGGGAGTCAGCCTGTCTCCCCTTCCCCCAGCTCCTGGCATCCACTGGTCTGTTTTGTGTTTGCTTGTGTGGCTCTAAAAGCCTCTTATGGTCCGGTTAATCTTGTAACCCAGCAACCCAGCGTTTGCCACATACAGGTTGCTTTCCAAGGCAAGGAGGCCTCACAGGCTCTCTCGTCTTGGGAGAAACCTGTTTTCAGAAGCAAAATTTCCTTGCATGACAAAGACTTTTCACCGAGAATTACCCTGGCAAAAGGAAAGTTTCGTCTTTTCCTCTCGCTTGCCTTCCCCATACCAGCACCATCTCTGGTTCCACCTTAGTTTGCTTTCCCTATTTTTCTCACCTAAAAATAAAACAAAAACCCTGTGTATTTAAAAAGCTGGTGCCTCAAATCCTTTTTGGAAGGAGAATTCCAGATCAGTCAATCAACAACACAGGGGAAACTGAGTCAGGAGTGGGGCAGTGGCTGGGCCTTTTTCTCAAGCTTAACCTAGCAGATCCAGGCCCCACTCCATGCCAGGCTCTGTGCCCAGGATACAGAAGTGAGCAGGAGAGCGGGCCAGGGCCTGGCCCTCTGTTGCTAGCAGCATGCCCTGGGGCTGCTCTGCTGTCTGACGCAGAAGGTCAGGACAGGCTCCCAGATGACGAGGAAAGAGGGGTGCAGAGCCGTGAACAGCCCATGCAAAGAGGCTGGGTGGGAAGCCGGCATGACCTCTGCCCTCCTGTTCCTCACAGGCTACTCCAGCCGGAGGGTCCAGAGCCCCAGTAGCAAGAGCAACGACACCCTGAGCGGCATCTCCTCCATCGAGCCCAGCAAGCATTCAGGCTCCTCCCACAGCCTGGCCTCGGTGAGGGTACCAGGGTGCCTGTCAATGGCCTTGGGGCTCCGTCTCTGCCCTCCGGGGGCTTATGGGCTGATAGGGAGATGGGAGCAGAGGTTCCATCCATTTATTCATTTGTTCACTCACTCATCCATCCGTGAAGGCTTTCTGAGATCATTAGTGACCAGTGTGTGCCGGGCATTGGTGAGGGACAGGTGGACAAGTGTGGAAGAGAGCCTGTGTGATACTTCCCCATGAAAGTTCATGCATTCATTCATCAGACATTGAGCGACACTGGATTTTTGCCAGGGACTACCAGGCACTGAGGATATAGAGATAAATAAGACAAAGACGAGTTTATTTTCTCTCGGGGAACAGCTTTTGGCTCATTCACTCATCTAGTTATTAATTCATCCAGCGAGTACTGAGCCCCAGCTCTGAGCAGGCCACAGCCCTGGGGACCCAGGTGCCAACAAGACCTGGCTCTCGTCACAGCCTGGCAGGCAGATGGCTGCTCGTGAGGGACAGAGGCGTGGGTGACAGCCCGGTCCTGCTGGCCCGTGGGTAACAGGTGCTCCTTGAGTCCTCCCGGTCCTCTTCGTGGTGGAGCCCTGGAGTGGGGAGGGGTCCTGCTGCTCAGGAGCAGGGCTCAGGGCAGCTTCCGGAGGAGGTGGCTGGTTCCCGGGCTGGGCATCTGTTTTTTTTCCTGCTTTGGCCATTTCTCTGACGTGTCCTCAGGCTCTTGGAGTCGGTGGAAGTGCTGTGCTGCATGCTTGGCCACTGTGGCCAGGGGCTGGTTTCAGGGGTGGTATGGGAGAGGGTGTGCGGTCAGGCAGGGGGGTTGGTGGGGAGCTGAGGGGTCCTGCTCGGGGTCTGGGAAGGCCTCACCCCTTATGCTGGAGTTCCTGCCCTGCTTGGCTCCCAGATGGTGGTGGTGAACTCATCCAGCCCCACGGCTGCGTGCTCGGGACCATGGGAGACCAGAGGGATAGAGGAGTCCGTGACCACTGTGGACGGCAACGCTGAGAGCCTCTACATGCAAGGTGCGGGCCGGGAGGCTGGCCTCGACTCCCCTCGGCTGCCAGGGCAGGGTAGCGAGGGAACTGCCTCCTCCCAGGAGCACGGATTCTCCGGGTGCTGCTTGCAACCCTCACCCCACCCCAAACCCCCCAGTTCTATGGTTTCTGGACCAAGGAGTATTTCCAGGACTAAGTCTGGTCTGCATGAAGACCCACAAGTGGACAGCCCTAAAGAAAAGGGGTCAGGCTACGTGGTCCTGCCCGTCCCCATCCTTCAGGGCCCTGCTGCCGCCTGGCTCTTCTGATCCCCCTCTGGAATGATGTAATGAGGGGCCTGGCCACTCTTCATCCACTGAGGGCCTGACTCCCCTCTCCCCGTCTCCCCCGCCCGCGCTCAGGCATGGAGCTGTTCGAGGAGGCCCTGCAGAAATGGGAGCAGGCGCTGAGTGTGGGGCAGAGGGGGGACGGCAGCAGCACCCCCACCCCAGGGGACGGCCTCCGGAACCCTGAGACGGCTTCAGAGGCGCTGTCCGAGGTAGGTCGTCTTTCCCTGGGTCTTCTCCACCCCCCAGCCTCAGAGACGGCTGCTAGTGTGGCTGGCAGGGCGGCTGCACTCGGGGGGTGTCTAGCAGCCCCGCTTTCTGCCAGCCAGTCATGTCCTCTTGGATGAGAGCTCTCCCCTTGACCAGGGTGTTGATCAGCCAAGTAAGAAAACTTAGGTCGTGTGCATTAGCGCACCCTGGCGCTTGGTAGTTACTCAGTAAACTACACCGTGATTACAACCTGATCCTGACCGTATAAGGAAAAATACACGTTCTTCACGGGCTGGAAGGAACTAGCCGTGTTCATAGGTGAGTGGGTCACACAGCTTTGTTTTATCTTTTCTTCATACATTTTTTGATCACAGTTTGATTAAATTTTCTATGGGGCTTCCCTGGTGGCTCAGTGGTAAAGAACCCACCTGCAAATACAGGAGATGCAGATTTGATCCCTGGGTTGGGAAGATCCCCTGGAGAAGGAAATGGCAACCCACCCCAGTATTCTTGCCTGGGAAATCCCATGGACAGAGGGGCCTTGTGGGCTATAGTCCAGGGGGTCCTAAAAGGGTCAGACATGACTTAGCGACTAAGCAACAACAACAACAGGTGTTCTATAAGTGAATATCTCAATATCAGAAAACAGAAAGTAAAAACAACCTAAAATTAAAAAAGTTTGTGAGGGACTTCCCTGGTGGTCCAGTGGTTGAGCCTCCCTTCCACTGCAGGGGGTGTGGGTTCGATCCTGCAAGCCACGCAGTGTGGCCAAAAAAATTTTTTTGTGTGAAAAGCACAACAAATACATGTCTTCAGATTAATGTTCACTGAAGCAGTGTTTTGTAATAGTTAAAACACATGAAAAAGTGGAAACTTGAGAGTCCCTCGGACTGCAAGGAGATCCAACCAGTCCATCCTAAAGGAGATCAGTCCTGGGTGTTCATTGGAAGGACTGATGTTGAAGCTGAAACTCCAATACTTTGGCCACCTGATGCGAAGAACTAACTCATTTGAAAAGACTCTGATGCTGGGAAAGATTGACGGCGGGAGAAGGGGATAACAGAGGATGAGATGGCTGGATGGCATCACTGACTCAATGGACATGAGTCTTGAGTAAACTCCGGGAGTTGGTGATGGACAGGGAGGCCTGGCGTGCTGTGCTTCATGGGGTCGCAGAGTTGGACAGGACTGAGCAACTGAACTGAACTGAAGTGCCCACTAGGAGGAATCTGAAATACTAGCCAGCCTTTATTAAAGGGTAGAAAGAAAGCTCTGTGGCTAAGTTGCTCTGTCCACTGTACTTTATTAAGTGAAAAAAAAGCAAGATATAGAATGTGTATAGTGACCCATGCGTACATTTTTTTCTACTGAGATGTAGCCAATGTGCAATATCATGTAAGTTACAGATCTGTAAGAGTGATTCATGACCCATGTATATACATTTTTCAAAAAACATTGTCTGTTTTCCTTAGGCTAGGTGGATTTAGTTAAAAAAGTCAAGCCTGTTTGTAAAGAACTGGAGACAGGAGGGGTGAAGTGAGAGCCCCAGGTCAGAGGTGGTTTTTTTTTTTTTTATTACAAATTGATCGAAACAGGGCTTCTCTTGTAGCTCAGTTGGTAAAGAATCTGCCTGCAGTGCAGGAGACCTGGGTTCAATCCCTGGGTTGGGAAGATCCCCTGGAGAAGGAAATGGCAACCCACTCCAGTATCCTTGTCTGGAAAATCTCATGGACAGAGGAGCCTGGTGGGTTGTAGTCTATGGGGTCGCAAAGAGTTAGCCATGACTGAGCGACTAACACTATACTATTTTTTAAATTGATGTACAGTTGACTTAAAGTGTTATGCTAATTTCTGCTGGTGTGTACATTTTAAATAAAGGCATACATCTATGCCTGTGTATGCCTGTTGGTAGCTACTGCTATGTCTGTGCACTTGTATTTCCCTTTGAACAGATGCACAGGAAGACTGTTCACAGTAAGCTGTGAGGAGGGTTTGCAGGTAAAGGAGGAAAAGACTTTCCTTGGACTTTTCCATACCTTTCTCTACTGTTTTGACTTTTCTTGTTTCGAGCACAAGCTTAAGGGCAGGGCTTGTACAGGTATTAGCATGGTGGGTTGTTTCTGCTTTAGTCTTGATACTTTTCCTGTATTTAATTTTTTAATTTATTTATGGCGTGTGGGATCCTAGTTCCCGGACCAGGGATTGAACTTGTGGCCTGCAGGGGAAGCTTGGAGTCCTGACCACCTACTGGACCGCCAGAGAAGTCCCTGTGCTTTTCTGTATTAAATAACAGAACAAAACATGGGTGTTCGTCCTCTACTGGAGTGAGGTCAAAGTGGAGGCCACCCCTTTGGGGAGGGGTCCAGCCAGGATGTGGGAACACCTTCATGTGTTGAAGAAGAAGGGGGCTTAACCCAGGGAATTGGTTGCATGGATGAGGGAGTCGCTGGGAGACCCCAGGGCTCGAGGGGGCTCACACCACAGAGGGGGCTGGCTAGCGGGGAGTGGAGTACAGGTATGTGATACGAGGCATGAAAAGGAGGGGAGAGCTTCTCACCCACCCCCACTCTGCCCCCCAGTTTCTCCTCCCTTCCTCCACCTGTGCCTCGGTGGGACAACAGGCAGTTGGCAGGTGAGCCTGGGGAACAGAGTTTGCAGTGCAGGGTGAGAACCCTTCCGGGACAGTGGGTACCAAGTCGGAGGTGTGCGTGCCCTCCACCTGGCTGGGACTTTAGCTCTGAGGCCCATCACACAGGCCTGATGGCTGTCATTGTGGGCTGTGGATGCCTGGGGTGTGGGTGACAAGGCTTCAGAGCCTGCAGCACGACTGCACCAGGTCCTGTCTGCTCGTGGGCAGACAGTGGGAGCCTGCCGGTGAGTGAGGGCAGGAGAAGAAGGGAGGCAGCTTTGTTTCCAAAAATTGTCCTTGTTGCTAATACTGCTGCTGCTAAGTCGCTTCAGTTGTGTCCTGTTCTGTGTGACCCCATAGACCGCAGCCCACCAGGCTCCCCCGTCCCTGGGATTCTCCAGGCAAGAACACTGGAGTGGGTTGCCATTTCCTTCTCCAATGCATGAAAGTGAACAGTGAAAGTGAAGTTGCTCAGTCGTGTCTGACTCTTAGCGACCCAATGGACTGCAGCCCACCAGGCTCCTCTGTCCACGGGATTTTCCAGGCAAGAGTACCGGAGTGGGGTGCCATTGCCTTCTCTGCCCTAATACTACATCTGAAATTTATAGACCTTTCCTTGTTTTTTTCATTGTGAAAGCAATGAGATGTTCCCTAATAGAGTAGTGAAAAAAACACAGAAAGAGAAAAAAGAGGATAAAAAGGATCCCAGTCTCCAACCAGACAGCTCACAGCTGTGTGAGGCAGGCAGAGGCCCTCAGGCCCCCTGAGCCCTGGCGCCCTCAGTGGGACCAGCCACAGGATCCTGGCCCATAGCAGGTGCTCAGTAAATCGTCTTTATCATAGGTAATATTGATGCCTGTTATCTTTCATCCAGACATAACTACTTGATATCCTTCCAAGCATTTAACTAGGCTACGATTTTTAAAAAATAACTATTGAAATATAGTTCACATACCATACAATTCACCGAATTCAATCGTACGGTGGCTTTCATGTATGTTTCCTCCACTATCTGAAAGTAGAGGATTCCTAGGAAATCTTTCTTAAGCCAAAGTGACATCAAGCAAAGAAGTATTGAGTCCCCTTAAGACACATCTTCCTAAGAGATGTGTAGAATTGATTGAGATAAAGCACAGGTGCTTACAGGAACTTCCCTGGTGGTTCAGTGGCTAAGATTCTGTGCTGCCAATGCAGGGGGCCCGGGTTCGATCCCTGGTCAGGGAACTAGATTCCATATACCACAACTAAGATTAACACACTGTGATTGAAAGATCCCGAGTGCCACAACTAAGACCTGGTGTAGCCCAATATTTATATGTATTGGGCTTCCCTGGTCGCTCAGCTGGTAAAGACTCCACCTGCAATGTGGGAGACCTGGGTTCGATCCCTGGGTTGGGAAGATCCCCTGGAGGAAGGAATAGCTACCCACTCCAGTATTCTGGCCTGGAGAATTCCATGGACTGTATAGTCCATGGTGTTGCAAAGAGTTGGACATGACCGAGTGACTTTTACTTTCACTTCATATATATATATTTTTTTCCCTCCATATATATATTATTAAAAAGTGTCTTTACAGACACAGTTCAAAGTTACAGTGGCTAGATGCTGAGATGCTGAGTGTAGTTCTGAGGGAAGGAGCTTGGCGGCATGTGCTGAGTAAAAGCTTGGGTCTATACTTTGGACTGGATTTGCTGGATCACAGTGTAACTCTGTGTTTAACATCCTAAGGAACTGCCAAACAGTTTTCCAAAGCAGCTACGTGTGACTGCGCTCAGTCGTGTCCGACCCTTTGTGACCCCGTGGATTATAACCCGCCAGGCTCCTCTGTCCATGGGATTTCCCAGGCCAAAAAGCTGGAGTGGGTTGCCATTTCCTTCTCCAGGGGATCTTCCCAACCCTGGGATGGAACCCGCGTCTTTTGTGTCTCCTGCCTTGACAGGCGGGTTCTTTACCACCGTGCCACCTGGGATTCCCAGCGCAGCTGTATCATGTTACACTCCCAGCAGCAGTGCCTGAGAGTTCCAGTATCTCCACACCCTCACCAGCACTTGTTGTCATCTGACTCTGACTCCAGCCATCCTAGTGGGTGTGATGCAGTTTTGATTTGTTTCCCTGATGCTGACGATGTTGAGCTGCTTTTCATGTGCTTATCGGCCTTATGTATACCTTATCTGGAGTAATGTCTCTCAGATCCTGCGCCTCCTTTTAACTTTGGCTGCTTGTCCTTTTATTATCGCATTGTAAGTGTTCTTTGATACTTTTTGGATACAAGTCCCTTGTCAGAGGTATGATTTGTCGATATTTTCTTCCATTCTTTGGGCCGTTTTTTCACTTTCTTTTCTTTTTTTAAACTTGGTGGCGCCTCATTGCCAAGGATCTTAGTTCCCTCACCGGGCAGGGGTTGAACCCAGGCCCTGGCAGCAGAAAGCACCAAGTCCTAACCACCTAACCCCCAGGAAATTTCCTGACACCTTCTTGACGGTGTCCTTTGAAGCACAAAGGTTTGAATTTGGATGTAGTCCAGTGTATCTGCTGTGCTCTTTGGTCGTCTGTGCCATATGTGAGAAACCATTCTCTAACCCACGGCGACTTCCCAGAGAAGGATCTAAGCCAAAGCCACGAGGCCCTGCTGGCCACACTGAGTGGGGTTGCTGAGCAACACGGCCAGAGGCTCTGGGGCCCCACGGGCTCTGCCAGGCTCCAGCTGGGTGGGCCCCGCCCCATAACCCCCTTGAGTTTTCCTGGTGAAATGGGGTCATGGTAGCCCCTGCCTGAAGGAGGCCGTGAGGCTGACCAGCGAGGTGTCAGTCCACGGCCAGCGCTCAGGGGAAAGCGGTGGTTTCCCTGTTACTGCCCTGCTCTGAGTACTTCCGGCTCTTTGTCCCCAGTGGCCTGAGGCCCTAGCTGGCCCCCGTCCCCTCCCCAGGGTCTGGTTACATGCTCTTGCGGGTCTGGCAGCCTCTGTGGAAAACAGACTCAGGCCTGCCTGTGTCTGGCCCCTCAGCCCACAAGCTCCTGGGGTCAAACAAACATTTCCTCCCACAACCTGGCCTGGAGGCGGGGGGCAGCAAGGAGTCATAGGCTGTGGTGCCGTGGGTGGGGTGCCTTCCCAGGTGCACACAGGTAATAGCAGCAGTGGGGTGGAACCCAGCTTTTTCTGGGCTCCTAACTTCTCTCTGGTTATAATAGCCAGCACTGACTGGCCTTCACCCTGGGCCCATCTTTTGGGAAGTACTTACATGCCCTATGCATGTTTTCCCTGAAATCCAAGGAAGTAGGTTCTCTTACCTCAGCTGACAGATAGGGAAACCGAGGCTTAGGGTGGGGGAGTTAATTACTCAAGGTCACACAGCTCAGAACTGATGGTGTTAGGGTTTGGACCAGGTCTGCTCAGGTCTAGAGTGGCGCTGTTCAATCAGAAGCCACATATCTCATTTAAAATTTCCCAGAGACCATGTTAAAAAGCAAAAGGAAATGAATCAAATGACTTTTAATACATTTTCTATAACCTGGTATGCCCCAAATATTATCATCTCAACACATAATCAAGATGAAAAATCATGGAGGTATTTAACATTCTTGTATTCTTGCGGGTTTTTTGGGGGGAGATACGAAGTGTTTGAAATCGGTGTGCATTTACATTTATCACCCATGTCAGGTGGGGCTGGCTGTGTCTGGCCAGTGGCTCCTGCATAGGGCTGCTCAGTCCAGACCTGCGCTTGCTGCTGGGCCTCAGAGCTGCCCCCCTCCCCACCTCCACAGCTTTCCCTGGGAGCTGGGCCCCTATCATGGTGCAGGAAGGGGCCATTGGTCTAGAGGAGCTTCGAGGGCCCGGGTTGACCTTCCTTGTTTTACCCGCAGCCGGAGTCCCAGCGGAAGGAGTTCGCGGAGAAGCTGGAGTCGCTGCTGCATCGGGCCTACCGCCTGCAGGAGGAGTTCGGGTCCACCTTCCCAGCTGACAGCATGCTGCTGGACCTGGGTGAGCAGGGGCCGGGTGCAGGGTCCCTGGGGCCCAGGACCTCATCCCATCAGGGGCCCACTGCACGGATGGGGAGACCGAGGCCACACAGGCGGGAACAGAGCTGGGACGAGGCCCCGGGAGTCCCTGGTCAGTGTGCTTTGCCCCCATCCCCTTGGGAACAGGCCTTGGTGTTGCTGTGTCCACATCTCCCCCCGCCTACCCCAGCGGCCGTTCCGGGCCCTTGACTTAAGCCCTCTCCTGTGGCTGCTGGGTGGGCAGAGGGGTGGCTCCCATGGAGGTAAGCCCACAGCAAGCCACATAGCACACACATGCCCACACCGTTGAGGTCAAGAGGCCTGACATCGCCGAGAGGGAGTGAAGTTACTCAGCTGGGCAGCCACAGCGTTCTAGTGCCCGCCATGTGCCAGACCCTGTGCGGTGACCATGGCCCTGCCCTGGGTGCCGTCAGCTTCCAGGGGGCTTACCAGACTCCTGAGTGTCGGGGTCCCTGGCTCTACCAGGGGCGACACAGGCCCAGCGAGGGCTGGCCAGGGTGACACATTCTCCATCGCCTGTCCCCATCAGAGAACAGCCTTGCTTCCCCTGGCCTCCTCTCACAGCAGAAAAGACTGGTGGGGCCTCAAGACTGTAGCCTCTGCTTGTTTGTTCAACAGATCCTTCCTAAGCCCCCTTGAGGGTCCAGACCCACTTGCCCTCGAGCAGGTGGGAACGGCAGTGTGGAGTGAGCGGCCCTTTGGTATCAGAGGCTAAGTGTCAGCTTGGCAAGGGGAGGTGACTTGCTCGGGGCCACATAGCACAGCCTGCGCTCAGAGCTCAGGGCTCACGGGCGATGTGGCTGCGGCAGGTCCCCTGGCGGGTACTGAAAAAACTGGAAGCTTGGCGACCATCAGCATCGTCTTCCTGGGATCGGTGTTGGGAGGCTTGGTGTCCATGTACATCCCAGCCTTGGGGAGCTCAGGATCTCAGCTCAGCCCCCCTCTTCCTGCCCTGCCCAGAGCGGACCCTCATGCTGCCCCTGACGGAGGGCTCGCTGCGTCTGCGGGCAGATGATGAGGACAGCCTGACCTCGGAAGATTCCTTCTTCTCCGCCACCGAGGTGATGCGGGTTGGGGGGATGGCTTTGGGGAGGGGGTGAAGGCCGGGGGGCCCCTGTCGGCTCTGCTGGGGGCCAGCGATGGGTCGTGGGAAAGTGAAGGCATTTCCTCTGACCGGAGCAGAATCTGGCGGTCGCCAAGTGTTCCTCCCCGGGGACTCTTCAGCTGGGACAGGGAAGCCTGGGAAAGCAGGAGCTGAGGGTCCCGTGAGTGAGGGCAGGGGTCCCTGACCCCAGCGGCTGCAGCCCACACTGGCCTCTCCTTCTTCAGGCTTCGTGCTCGTGGCTTGGTGTTCGTTTCCTGCCACGGCCACGTGTACCAGGCGGCTGTCCTTGCCCGGGATGGGAGGACATGGGCTGTGTCCAAGAGATGGTCCCTATGGAAAGGTCCCCATGGGAAAGGAGGAGAAGGGGACGACAGAGGATGAGATGGGTGGATGGCATTACCGACTCTATGGACATGAGTTTGAGTAAACTCCGGGAGTTGGTGATGGACAGAGAGGCCTGGCGAGCTGCAGTCCATGGGGTCGCAAAGAGTCGGACACGACTGAGCGACTGAACTGAACTGATGGGAAAGGCACCTGGTGACGGGGATGCTGAGGACCAGGAGGGGACTCCAATCCAGGCCTCTGCCCTTGGCCAGGGTTCCTGCTGACATCCCCTCAGAGAGCTTGTAACCTAGGGTGTCCCCTACTGGAAGTTCCTGGGGCAGGCACCCTCCCCCACACTCATGCTGCTGACACAGGCTTCCACGTGTCCCCCTCCCCCTTTCCACCCTCCCCCCAGCTCTTTGAGTCCCTGCAGGTCGGAGATTACCCGATCCCACTCTCCAGGCCCGCCGCTGCCTACGAGGAGGCCCTGCAGCTGGTAAAGGAGGGCAAAGTGCCCTGCCGGACCCTCAGGTGAGCACAGGAGGAAGGAGGCAGGTGGGCGGCTGGGGGCGCCGTTCTCTTAGAGGAGGCTGGGGAATCCAGCAGTGAGTGCTTGGTGAGGGCCCAGCTGAGCCAGGCTGAGGGCGGGGTGGGCTGGCCAGGGCTCCTGCCCCAGTCTTGGAAGGCCCTCGGATGGCCCTGGTACAGGAGAGGTGAGTGTGGAGTTAGTGATCATAATAATGAACTAATACAAGTAATTAAAATACCAGTCATTCATGCTGGTTCCAAGTTCTCAGATGTGTCCAATCATGGAAGTGGGGCACTGTCCCTAAGCCCTGTGTTCTGGGTACCTCATGGGAACTGTTGTTGCGGAGCATGGGCTCTAGAGTGCGTGGGCTTCAGTAGTTACGGCATGCAGGCTGAGTTGTCCTGCAGCATGGGAATCTTAGTTCCCCGACCAGGGATCGAACCTGCATCTCCTGCACTGGAAGGCAGATTCTTACCACTGGACCACCAGGGAAGTGCCCTCTAGGCCCTGTGTTCTGACAGACTCCCTTAAGGAGCGGTCCAGAAGCCAGGCTTGGGGACAGACCTGGGTCTCTCCAGCCTTGCCACTTCGTATCGTGTGGCCCTGGACAAGTCTCCTGACCCCTCTTAGCGTCAGTCTCCTCTGTGGTATATCTGAAAGCTCTTGTTCGTCTGAAGCTCATTGTTCTGTATGATGGTCGTGACTCCTAGATTTACGTGTGTGTGTTTAAAGGTTGCTGAAACTGGCCAGAAGACCCAGTTGAAGGCCTGAGGGTTTGGGTAAAAGGCTCAGACTAGGGTGCCTCTGGCTGCCGCAGAAAGCCCTGCCCTGGCCTTGGGGGAAACTGGGCCATTTTGGTCCTTTGCTGGTTGGAGCCTAAAGGAGACTGAGGTCAGCCTGACCCCCAGTGACCACACCATCCGGTGGCACCGCGTGCCGCTGAGGCAGCCCATCCTCAGAGAGCATCCTGCCAGCCGCTTCGGCTGGTTCTGGGGAAACTGAGGCCTGGAGACCAGCCCCCGGCCCGAGGTCACACTGCCAGGCGGAGGCAAGGCCCCCGGGGCTCCGCCCTGCCTCCACGAGGCTGTCGCTGGCGGGGGTCCCAGGTGGCGCGGCTCTCTGTGCTTCCCCTCAGGACAGAACTGCTGGGCTGCTGCAGTGACCAGGACTTCCTGGCCAAGCTGCATTGTGTGCGGCAGGCCTTCGAGGTGGGTGTGGTCCGCGGGGGGCGGGGGCGGGCGCGGGGGCCGCAGGCCTTCGAGGTGGGTGTGGTCCGCGGGGGGCGGGGGCGGGGGCGGGGGCGGGGGCGTGTGCGGCAGGCCTTCGAGGTGGGTGTGGTCCGCGGGGGGCGGGGGCGGCAGGCCTTCGAGGTGGGTGTGTTCCGCGGGGGGCGGGGGCGGCAGGCCTTCGAGGTGGGTGTGGTCCGCGGGGGGCGGGGGCGGGCGCGGGGGCGGCAGGCCTTCGAGGTGGGTGTGGTCCGCGGGGGGCGGGGGCGGGGGCGGGCGCGGGGGCGGCAGGCCTTCGAGGTGGGTGTGGTCCGCGGGGGGCGGGGGCGGGCGCGGGGGCGGCAGGCCTTCGAGGTGGGTGTGGTCCGCGGGGGGCGGGGGCGGGCGCGGGGGCGGCAGGCCTTCGAGGTGGGTGTGGTCCGCGGGGGGCGGGGGCGGGCTCCTCTGAGCAGGTGGGCCATCTGCCCGTCCCACGGTACTGCCCTCTCTGTGGCTTTGGGGGGCCGCCAGCTGGGCAGCTCACCCTCCCTCCTCACTCCTTAGGGCCTGCTGGGAGACAGGAGTCACCAGCTTTTCTTCGGGGAGGTCGGCCGGCAGATGGTGACAGGCCTGATGACCAAGGCTGAGAAGGTAGTAGTGGACACGGCTCTCTTTCTGGCTTTTCTTCCCCCACCCCTTATCTTTCTAACTTTTATTTAGTCCTGTTCAAAAAAAAAAAAAAGAACTCAATCTAAAATCAAGCTGATGAGCTCTGACTTCATCCTGGAAGCCACTGGAGAGCAGGGAGAGTTTCTGTGTTTTTTTTTTCCTATGCTAATTTTGGAAAATATTGTTTTTTTTTTTTTAATGTATTTATTTGGCTGCACTGAATCTTAGTGACGGCACGTGGGATCTTAGTTCCCTGACCAGGAATCGAACCTGCGCCCCCTGCATTGGAAGCGTGGAGTCTTAGCCACTGGACCACCAGAGAAGTCCCACTTGGCTTAATTTTGATTAAGGAATCAAGAAGAGCTCGGCGAGCACAGAGCTCCTGAGTGCCAGAGCCTGTGCCCAGCTCTGAAGTGAGGAAGCGGACAGCCCCGCCACATTTTTCCAGGCAGTAAAGATGGGCTGGCCTCTGGGAAGATACTGGCCGCTGCGCACACCCAGGCTCTGAAATTGCGGAATCAGCTTCCTCCATACTGTGCCCAGGGCCACTCGTGAAGCCTCTCCAGGCCTCAGTCCCCTTGTGTGTAAATGGGCGTGTCCTGGGGACATCACTGGCTGAGGTCAGTGACCATAAAAAGCGTCAGCGAGGCCCAGCCCTCATCTTCATCGTCAACTTTTACATGCGAGGAAACTGAGGCTTGGGGAAGTGAAGGCATAGCCTGTGGTCGTCCTAGCAAACTTCAAAACTTAATGAAAATTGGGCTTCTCTGGTGGTCTAGTGGTTAAGAATCCGCCTGCCAGTGCAAGGGACACAGGTTCGATACCTGGTCTGGGAAGATCCCCCATGCCGTGAAGCAGCTAAGCCCATGAGCCATATACATACTGAGCCATCACTCTAGAACTTGTGAGCCACAACTCCTGAAGCCCACGTGCCTAGAGCCCACCACTTGCTACAACTAGAGAAAGCCCGAGTGCAGCAACAAAGACCCAGCGCGGCCAGTAATAAATACGTCTTAAAAAACAAAAAGCAACTTCACGAAAGCAGTTTAAAAAAAGATGATAAAAATGGGAGTTCCCTGGTTTCCTAGTGGTTAGAATTCCAGCCTTTCTTTAACTGATGTGGCCTGGGTTCAGTCCCGGGTCAGGGAATTAAGATCCCACAAGTCTTGAGGCATGGCAAAAAAAAAAAAGTGTAAAAACGATTCACACTCTTTGAAGAAAAAACTAAGATGATGCAAAAAGAAGGAAAAAAATTGTCCCCAGCCCCACCCTGTTTACATTTTGGTGAACATCCCTCCAGTGACCCCTCTGCCTGTGGTTCTCATAAGTGCCATCACCCTGCCGGTGGTGATCTGTGTCAGCTCTGTCCTGCCAGGCTCTTGGGCACATCCCTGATCTGAAGCCTCGGGATTCGTACCTGTAAAGTGGGCACAATGTTGGCCGGTCCCTCCCAGGGTTGTATGAATTAAATGAGTTGATCCATGTTAGGTCAGCCCTGGCACGTGCTCACTTGCTAGGTCCGTAAATGACATCTGTGTCTGCAAATTGCGTCGCCAGCCTCCACTAGGGCTCCCCGTCCCAGAGAGTGAAGACTTGCTCCTGGGTGCTGACTGTCTGCACCTGGCAGCAGCAGGAGTCCTGTACACTATTTACTGCCTGATGGTGTCACACGAACGAGCTCACCGACTCCCTGAGGAAAGCTGCAGCTTCTCCCGTCTTACCAGGGAGGCCGATGGTCATGGAGATTCGGTTGGCGGGCCCAACCTCACACCCTCATGCATCCTTTCTAAAGTGAGCTCCTTCCGTAGCCGGTGCACACCTTCTGGAAGGAGGTCGGTTCTCAGTAACGAGCTGGAGTGAGACGCTGCTGGGCAGCTTGGTGTTGCCTCTCTCCCGGACACACCCTGGGCTCTGCAAAGCCTCACTCTCTCTGTGACCACTGCTCAGGCATTGGCCCTGGCCTGGCCTTGGAGTGTCCTCCATCCACAGTCCAACCCGCCCCTGTGGATAGAGTCCAACGGGGTCGGGGCCATGGCCAAAACAGGCTCTGCTGCTCCCTGTAGAGTCCCAAAGGCTTCCTGGAGAGCTATGAGGAGATGCTGAGCTATGCCCTACGGCCGGAGACCTGGGCCACCACGCGGCTGGAGCTGGAGGGCCGAGGGGTGAGTCGCTGTTGTGCTGAGCTTTGGTGTCCTGGGGTCCCCCCACCTGAGCTCCTTGAGCAGGGTGGAGGTGCGCCCTGGAGCTCTGCCTTGCTTCCGAGGCTCTGAGATGGCTCCACTGCTGCTGGAAGCCCCCGTTCCCGCCCTGCCCCAGGCCCAGGCTGCTGGGAGGGTGGCTCCCGCTACACCCTGCTGCGGAGCAGAGGTGTATCTGCTCAGCCAGGTGTTCCCACCTGGACCCCCGCACACCCGCCCTCTCAGGCCTCAGAGCACCGCCTGGCCCCGCAGGTGGTGTGCATGAGCTTCTTCGACATTGTGCTGGACTTTATCCTCATGGATGCCTTCGAGGACCTGGAGAACCCCCCGTCCTCGGTGCTCGCCGTCCTGAGGAACCGCTGGCTGTCAGACAGCTTTAAGGAGACGGTGTGTGGCCGCCCCCCACTCCCAGGCACGCACACACGTGACCCCACATGTGTCGCCTGGACCCGTCCCTCCATCCCTGGCGTTGGGCCCCGGGGCTGGTTCCCTACTCATCATGGAGCAGTCACCCCCACCCACCTGGGGCAGGCTGCCGGCCACTGGGCGCCCCAGCGCCTGCCCTGGAGAACTTTCCAGGGGAGTCCCCCCTTGCTCTTGTCTCATCCTTGTAGAGCGGCTGGGCATGTATTTTCCTCCTGCCTCATGGTTTCATTGGGCAATTCTACTCATTCTCAGCTGCCATTAATTCTATTCCATTTGAATGCATTCAGTCAAGTTAAAATATGGACAAAATAAAGGAGGAACAGCAGGAAAGCCTTGAGCACAGGGCCCCTGGCAGGCAAGCTGTGCCGGGTGGCGTGAGGTGATCTGGAGAGGGGTGGGACTGGGCATTGATAGGCAGTAACTGTGGATCTCCACAATCACTGAGCAAGGCGGGGATACTCGGTCAAGTTCATCTTACAGAGGAATCTGAGGCCCAGAAGAAGATTGCTGGCTTCTCACCCTGTAAGGGTTGGGAGTCAAAATTCAGCTTTAGGTGCACCTGACTCCTAATTGAGGGCAGGGAAAAGGCAGACTTCAGACAGCTGTTCCCATCTCCCTGCTTGGGGTGGGTGAGCTGGGGGAAAGGCTTGGTCCCAGCTCCGGGTGAGTAGCAGCTGCAGGCCCGGCCTGTTGGTCTGACCCCAACCCCCGGGGGGTGCCCTCTTTAATTTAGGCCCTGGCCACTGCCTGCTGGTCGGTCCTGAAAGCCAAGAGGAGGCTGCTGATGGTGAGTGAGCTGATGGTGTGGGGCCTCTTGAGAGCAGCCACGCAGGGGCTGGCGGCTGGGTGTGGAGCCTAGCTCAGCTGACCTTCCCTTTGGTGTGTGCTAGACCCTGGTCTGGGGGTGGGACACGGTGGGGTGGGCTGCAGCTTTTGCCCTTTGTCACAGCACCAGTCATCTATCCTGCCATGACCTCCCCCTTGACAGGGAAGGTCTCAGAGGCCCCCAGAAATCTGCTTTGTCTTCCCACCCAGGGCCTAGCACAGAGCTGGCGGTTGGGAGGTGATGAAGGGGAATCAGAAGCAAGGAGAGGGCCTCTTCAGAGGGAGGCAGGGCCTGTGCAGAGTAGCAGAGGTGATGCTGGCGTCTGGGTCGGGGCAGGGTGCCCTGGGAGCAGGCCGAGCCCCGCTCCCGCCCCGAGAGCTGCGTTATCTGTGCTCCCAGGCGGCGACCGGCTGCCTATCTGGGCTGCCATCCATTGTTCCCCCCCTGCCAGCCCGGCTCTGCCGCCCAGCTGATACCAGCTGCCACCACCATGTGCCCTGGGCACTTCCTCTGCTGAGCCTACTCCGGGCCCCTACTTGCAGCCCTCGCCACCGCCCCGAGGTGGCCCCTATGCTGCGAAGGCGAAAGCCAGGGCTCTGAAAGCCCCGGTCACGGGGACACTTCCCTGGCAGTCCAGTGATTAGGACTCGACGCTTTCACTGCTGGGTCTGGGTTCCAGTCCTTGGTCGGGGAACTAAGATCCTATAAGCTGCGTAGTGCCACTAAATTTTAAAGCAAAACAAATTTTTTAATTAAAGAAAGTCCCAGTCACTCACCCAACATCACCCAGCAAGGACATGAATGAGCCAGACAGGCCTCCAAAGCCCCAGCTCTTAATATGAACCCAGGGCCTGGCTGCCTCTCCCTGCCCGGGTCCCAGCCTTCAGCCTTGCTGTGCCCCGCCCTCCCCCCAACAGGTGCCTGATGGCTTCATCTCCCATTTCTACTCCGTATCGGAGCACGTTAGCCCTGTCCTAGCCTTCGGCTTCCTTGGACCCAAGCCTCAGCTCTCTGAAGTCTGTGCTTTCTTTAAGGTAAACAGGGAGCTTGGCATCTGTAGCTGCCTGCCTGGCCCTGCGTCCGGAGAAGGGTCTGGGCGGGGTGCCTGCCCCTTCCACTGGGGACCTGGCCCCGGGTGGGTCCACAGGAGGCCCCGGGAGGGCAGGAACAGAGGACAGAAGGAGCTGAGTTGGGCTCCCCCCCAGGGGGGCCGTCAGGGGAGTGGCTTCAGGTGGCCTGGAGAACCTTGGCTTGGCAGGGAGCAGGGGCCCCGGCCCAGCCTGACGCCAGCCGTGTCCCTCAGCACCAGATCGTGCAGTACCTGACCGATATGTTCGACCTGGACAACGTGCGCTACACGTCTGTGCCGGCGCTGGCCGAGGACATCCTCCAGCTGTCTCGGCGCCGTAGCGAGATCCTGCTCGGCTATCTGGGGGCGCCGGCGGCCGGCAGTATTGGCCTCAATGGCGTGCTGCCCCCGGAGAACAGGCCCCCAGAGGCGCTGCAGTAGTGGCCACTGTGGGCCCGGGACGATGGCTGCCTGGGCTGCCTTCACGTGGGGGACGCCAGAGAGAGGCCTTTGGATTGGAGTGGGAGGCCTGGGTATCTGGCCATCAGCAGTAGCAGAGCCCAGGCCGTGGCGGCCAAGGGCACTTACTTGCCCCTGACCTTGCCCCCACCCCAACCTCCATCATCTGGGAATCCCCAGGGCCTGGGGTGGAGGGCAGACTTCCTTAGAGATGGAGGGAGCCCCGAGGGGCCCACCTGACCCGCCCTCAGCTATGCCTGGGGAAGCAGAGACTGGACTAGTGGCCAGTGGGGCCAGAGAGGAAGAATCAGGTAGAGATGGGATGCCCGGGATGTGGGTCCCCAACACCTCCCACTTCCCGGGGGGACTGCTGAATAGGGCTGGGAGGGTGGAGATGGAAGAGTGGGTGGCAGGGCTCTGTGGTAAAGGGGCCTGGGCTGGCCAGTGTCAGGTCCAGGCATGTGCCTGGCCAGGGCTCACGGCCCGCCGCCACCCGAAAGAACAGCTCCAGGGGTGAAAGCGGTGGCTGGGGGCACCTCGGTGGGCAGCGGGTCTGGGCCATCCTGATGGGCCCGCCTGGGCTTATGTCTGGACAGGGATCGGGCCCTTGAGAAACCAAGCACTTGAGCAGGACGCTGTCCTCTGACCTTCCCTGCCCCTCCCGAAGACTGTCTCTCCTCCCACCTCTGCCACCACCAAAGGTGGAGGAGGTGGGGCTGGTCGCCCCCCGCCCTGCCCTCTGTGAGCCCGGGACTCTCTGGCTGGTGCTAGGTGCTGGGCTGGAGGCTCTGACCGGGGTCATCTCAGTCCCCAAGAGTGTGGGGCAGGGGATGGTCAGAGGAGGCAGGCGGCTGGACCAGCATCAGGATGGGAAATTCACCTGGCTCTCAGCCTTCAACTTGACGCACAAGCCAAGTAGCAGTGTAGAGCCCGCCGCCGAAGGCTGTGGGCATAGGTGCCCACATCTCCAGATTCTGTCCGCCCCGCAGACTTGCTTCCCTTGTGGTGTTTCCACCTGAGGAAACAGGTGTTTTATTTATTGCCTTAACACTTTATTTTGAGGTCCGCCCCTTTCCGGGTGGTGGGGGTTGCCTCCAAGAGACACAGACTCCTGTTTTTCCACACTCTGGAGTTGGGACTGGCTCGTCAGTCCTGGGGGCACCCTCCCTTGAATAGCAGAGGGGTCCCCGGAGTGGGGTGGGAGAGGGCCCATCTCCTCTGAGCCCACTCCCGCCCCCACGTGGTCCCTCCATCCCCCCAGACTGCAGGGACCACTGTGCACTAACTATGCTTCTGACTCCAAACCCACGTGTCTGAGGTCTTAACTGCCTCCTCCTGGGTGGGAAGGACGGGGAGGCCCCTCCAAGCTAACATTCCGTTCATTTGCACTTCCCCCGCCCGCGCTGTGAATGTGATCTTGGGCCTAGGCCCTGGCTGCTCTGATTTGCTCCCGAATCACCCAGAAGTGGCACTTTTCATGTTGTCTGTGTTTACATGTCCACGCACTGCCTCTGGCACTTGTCACAGCTTCCCACTTTTGTACGGTAGGGCCTGTGCACATCGACTCTTGAGTCAAATAAATGATTTAAATGATTTCCTTCCAGCGTCACCAAGCACATGTGGTCATTGCTTCCGGTGGGTGGGGGCCTGCTCTTTGGAGTGCGGGTCAGGGGAGGCTCCAGGAGGGCAGAGGAGGCCTGGCGGGGCCATTTGGCCCTCGGCACGGAGGGGCCAGTGCAACGCCATGGATGTGGGTGGGCAGCCTGGGTGTGGGTCCCGCTCTGGCAGCATCTAAGTAAGGTCACTGGGCTCTGAGCCTCGGAGGCCCCGTCTCTAAGATACAGGTGTTGCAGCCGGCAGGGACTGCAGACCCAGCCCCTCGATCACTGTAAATCTGAAGTTCTCATGGGTAGCTGGACAATCGCATGACTTATTTCAAAAGTACAGTAGTCCCCTCTTTTGGGCAGGGACACATTCTAAGACCCGCAGTGGCTGTCTGAAACCATGGATAGTACTGAATCCCATATATACTATGTTTCTTCTATATACGTACCTATATTATATGTTATGTCATTAACTCAGTCACTCAGTCGTGTCCAGCTCTTTGCGACCCCATGGACTGTAGCCCACCAGGCTCCTCTATGGAATTTTTTCAGGCAAGAATACGGGGGTGGGTTGCCATGCCCTCCTCTAGGGGAATGAATCTTCCCGACCCGGGGGTCAAACTCACGTCTCCTGCGTCTCCTGCATTGGGAGGGAGATTCTTTACCACTGCACCACCTAGGAAGCCCATATAGGCCTGTGGTAAAGTTTATGTAAATTAGGCACAGTAAGAGATGAACAACAATAATAAAATGGAAGGAACAATTAAAACAATACACTAATAAAAATGTGTATATGGTCTGTCTCTCAAAATATACAAATTGAATGCCTTTTCCATCTCAACTAATCACTTACTACATACCTGTAAGTTTTGCAGCTTGAGATGCGACAGAAAACACGAATTTTTTTCATAATTTCATGGATAAAAGCTTTGTCCTCGTAGATCTCAGCGCCTCAGTAAACAGATATTTTTCCTTTCCTTATTAAGTCGAGCACTTTCACCTCTTCACTTAAAGGAAGCACTTGTCAGCTTCTCTTTGGTGTATTCTGACGGCCAGCATCACTACTTTGGTGCTTGCGAGTTAGTCACTCTGTCGTGTCCAACCCTTTGCAACCCATAGACTAGCCCGAGAGGCTCCTCTGTCCATGGGACTTTCCAGGCAAGAATACTAGAGCGGGTGGCCATTTCCTCTTCCAACTTTTGTGCTTGGGGACCATTATTTAGTAAAACAGGATGACTCAAACACAAGCACTGTGATGCTGTGACAGTCATTCTGATAATGCAGAGGGCTGGTAAGTGACTAGAAGGCAGGTAGGGTAGACAGCATGGATGCGCCGGACGGAAGGATGATTCGCATCCAGGTAGCAACGGAACAGGATGGCTCGAGACAGCACGAGATTTCATTACACTGCACTGAACGGTGTGCGTTTTAAAACTTATGAATTATTTATTTCTGGACTTTTCCATGTAATATTTTCAGACTGTGGTTGACTGAGGGTAAGTGCAACCTTGGAAAGCAAAACTGGATAAGCTGGGACCACCGTACTTGAAAGTTTTTCTGTATTTTTTGAAAATTTTACATGTACAGAAATTAAAAAGAAAACTGTATAAAGCACACACACAAAATCCACACTTCGAGTCAGTAATTAACATCTTGCCATAGTTGTTTCATGCATACAGTCGTTTTAGAAAATATTTTGGAGTAAGTTTTAGGCTTGTGCTTCCTCCCTAAACTACTTGAAAAAATTTATCTTAAAAATAAGGTAGTTCTCTGGCTTAATCACAATACAAACATCACACCTTAAAAATGAGCACTAGCTCTCTAATATCTGTTGGGATTCTGAAAAGCTTTTCCTGATTAACCCCAGTTGACCCCAGTTCAACCTAAAAAGAGGGTAAGTGTTTGATTCTTCCCCTCTACCGATTTCATACTCAAGGAGATGTAATTATTAATACCCCAATGCTGTGTTTAGTTAATGCTGTGTTTAATTAATATACCCCAAATGAGTGTTTAAACAGCTTTATTAAGGTATGATTTGTATACCATAGAATGCACTCGCTTTAAATGATTGTTTTTAGTAACTTTAGTAACTTTACAGAGGTGTCAAACTGTTACCAAAATGTTCAGTCACTTGGTCGTGCCCAACTCTTTGTGACCCATGAACTACAGCATGGCAGGCTTCCCTGTCCTCCACTCTCTCCTGGAGTTTGCTCAAACTCATGTCCACTGAGTCAGTGATGCTGTCCAACCATCTCATCTGTCGTCCCCTTCTTCCCCTGCCCTCAATCTTTCCCAGCATCAGGGTCTTTTCCAATGAGTCGACTCTTCGCATCAGGTGGCCAAAGTATTGGAGCTTCAGCTTCAGCATCAGTCCTTCCAATGAATATTCAGGGTTGATTTCCTTTAGGATTGACTGGTTTGATCTCCTTGCAGTCCGAGGGACTCTCAAGAGTCTTTTCCAGCAACACAGTTCAAAAGCATCAATTCTTCGGCACTCAGCCTTCTTTATGGTCCAACTCTTCCATTTATGTATGACTACGGGAAAAACCATAGCTTTGACTATACGGATCTTTGTTGGAAAAATGATGCCTCTGCTTTTTAATGTGCTGTCTAGGTTTGTCATAGCTTTTGTTCCGAGGAGCAAGCATCTTTTCGTTTCATGGCTGCAGTCATCGTCCACGGTGATTTTGGAGCCCAAGAAAATAGTCTGTCACTGTTTCCATTGTCTCCCCATCTACTGCCATGAAGTGATGGGACCAGGTGACATGATCTTAGTTTTTTCAATGTTGAGTTTCAAGTTGGCTTTTTCGCTCTACTCTTCCATCTTCATCAAGAGTCTCTTTAGTTCCTCTTCCTTTTCTGCCATTAGAGTGGTGATGCTACCACAGTACAGTCTCAGAATATTCTCACCACCCCCAGAAGACCTCTAGTACTCGACTGCAGTGACTCCCCCAGCCCCCAGGTTGCCACCAGTTTACTTTCATGACTTGCCTTTTCTGGACAATTCCTGTAAATGGGGTCATACAATGTGATCTTTTGAGTTTGACTTCTTTACATATAAGGTTCATCCATTTTATAGTATGCATCAGTATTTAATTCCTCTGTTGCTGAATAGCATTCTGAGAAGAGTTTTACCTCTTTTTTGAATCACCACTATGGACTCAAGGATTATTATTTATTCCATAATTTACACTCAGTTATAATCATTTTTCTGATGCTCCAATGGTCACAAATTTGACCAGAGGAAGTCCAGTTGAATTGGCTCCTGGGTCCTTTAGACACCCCCACCCCCCGAACTCATCTTTGAGAACTTCATTTCTAGCATAACAAGTCCCAGGAAGCTCAGAAACCCAGACACCAGAGCTAGGAAGGGCCCCC